TTGAAATTTAAAAAGAAAAAAAAAATCATCAAAAACAGACTCTTCTTTTGTCTTTCTAGTCAAATGATAATATGAATTTAACAAATCAAATTCAATCTCAAGAATATTTAAATAAACAATTAAATGAACGTCTTGCACAAAATGAACATCTTGCACAAAACGAACATCAATTACAAGAAGTTCAAACAACAACACATCATGAACGAGAGGTTTTTTTTTCTTTATAAATAATTTATTTAACATTTTAAGAATTGTTTTCAGGTTCAAAATGATCAACAAACACAAACACTATCTAATAACGATCAAGAACAACAAGAAAGTACTAATCAGGTAAATATTCTGCGATTTAAATATTCTATTCGTTGGTAGAGAAGAAGTCTATTTTGTATAGATACTTTTAAATATCATTCAAAAAGAAAAGTTTCGAAGTGTTTCTCTGTTTTCAGTGGAAATGTGACCGTTGTGGAATGCGTTGAGTTAATGACGAGTATATGAATAGGTTTTTCATGCATGTTTCAATAGAAATATTAAGTCAACTTTTGGTTGTTAATTAATTTTTGTAATATAGCAACCAATTTTGATATTAGTTTTATTGTTGATGATTATGTTTTCAGCAAATATTTATTTTAACTTTCATATTCGATCTATCAATATTTAATACTAGGAGAATAAACTGAAAAATTTAAGACCGTCTCCTCCCTCTCAACAATTGATCTTGACCCAAGTACATGCAAATCACATAAAGTTTTCAGTCCTAGTCCATGACGTTTCTGGATGATATTCAACAAGCAACAATGAAAATTAGCTCATTTGACAACCAGAGATTCTCTGTAGGCCTTCATTCTATAATATTTAATTTTTTTTATTTGAAAAAACATGTCAGAAGTTCAGTATCTGAAAAAAAAGGTTCTCTAATTATAATAGTACTCTTTTATATAATAGAAACAAAGCTTAATTTAAAAAGGCACTTTGTTATGCCCTGCATCTTGACATGCTCTTTCAACCAGACAGAAAACAAATATATAGAATGGAGGCCCACAGAGAATTATGGGTTGTGTGACCAAAAAAAAGGCATAAACTGAGAAAAGTATTTGCCACTTTTTCTTGAAAACAGCATATCTTTCAAGCAGGTGATGACAGAAATCATCAAAAATTTTTCATAAAGAATGAGGTACCGAATAAAAAATCGTGTCATTTATGACAGATCAGATTTTGGGGCTATCCTCTCATGCATTTATCGTAATTTCGATATAATTCTGATGAAAATTCACTTTTGGTGGAACTTACACCCATTTTCAAAGAAAATTAAGTGGAAGTCTTGCGACTTCTCAACAGTATTAATAACAAGACTTCAACTGTTCTAGAATATTTCAATCGTTTCGTTGAACTTTGAATGGTTCGAATACGTTCGTGAATGTTTTAAATAGTGCAGTTTTTGATTTTTGCGTAGATAAAAATTTATATTCAAGATGTTACAGATGATGGATAATCATGGATTGATGTACCACAATTATTATATGATCAACACAAAAAGCGTAAATTGATCAAATTAAAACTTTGAAAAATAATCAATATCAGTGTTTGTGAATTTATCAACATAATTAATAGTACGTTGAGACCTGTTGTATATATAATAGATATGTACAACAGACTTATTTGCCAATGATTAGAATAATAATAATGTTAAATTAAGAAAAATGGAAAAATAATTAGCGAATATCAACAAGACAAACAAAGAATAGAGCGTACGCTGGTAGTCGATTATCCTGAGAAAACAACTATAGTCTGCTAGAGATTTTTTACGTTACCTATGCTTTTATTAGTATAATGAGGCTAAAGAACATATGCGAGCACCACATTTCAACTCCGAAGGGGTGCATTGACAAGGTTTTTGAGAGAAGAGGAAGGACCTTGACTGTATAGACGATTGTGATAAGTGCATTGCTAAAGTGTTAACTACTGAAAATGAAAGTAATATACCAAATTCTACATCATCGAACACTTGTGACAAAACAAATTTATAAAAGTTCTATATCATTTTTTTTAAAATAATAATTAATTGCTAGAACGATTAATTATTTAACTTAATACTTGCTCGAATTCTTATTGCTTCTTGAATTCTTTGAAATGTCTTCAGTTTGTTAAAACTTGATCTATTAAGAACATTGATTGATATATCAACTTTTAGAATATATCACATTTGTATTTATTTATTTAGCAACTAAATGAATTATTAGAAGAAAATAAATCATTACGAAAACGTCTTTTACAATTTGAACAACCATCAGAGTCTCAACTAATAAGTGATATACAACTTAATGATTCAAGTTCATTATCATCAATTGGTTCAGTTGTTGATGACACTCATCAACTTCAAAATGGATTTGTTGAAAAAATTATTGTAAGATAATGTTTTGTTTTTTTTTGTAAATCTTTGATTCGTTTTTCTTTTATAATTTAAAATTTTTAGCAACGTTTTAATCGAGCAATGCGTGATAATGCTGATTTACAAGATCGAGCTCAACAACTTGAACATCTGATTTTACAATTACAAAGTGAAACTGATACAATTGGTATAAATAAATAAAGAAATTTTATTTATTTATTAACAATTTTTTTGTTTTTTTCTAAATAGGTGATTATATATCTTTATATCAACAACAACGTCAACAACTTCATCGACGTTATCAAGAAAAAGATGATTATATTAAACAATTAACTCACGATCGATTAGGTTTACAGGTAAAAAAAAAACCAATTATTATTTTTATATAATTTTATGTTGATTTATTTTAGAGAAAATTATCTGAATTAGAAACATTACTTATGCGTGGTTTAAATAAGCCATCAACAGATGTCACAGATCAACAAAAATCTATTCAAAATGAAACAAATTCATTGAATCAACAGCCAACTGTCGATGAAAATGGTATAACATTTTTAGTTTAGATATTTGATGATATAGTTTAAAAAGGTTCGAACCTTATGTTTGGCAATGATGTATTCAAGTTCAGTCTTCAATCTGAAGAGAAGAAATTCTTTGTAGAAATTATTTTATCATTGATACTGAGCCAAACAGTTATTTTTCGTTTTCAATATTTTTCTATTTTGTCGAAACAGTATTTGATTTAAATGAGATTAGAAAAAAAAAAATTTTGTTATCTACAGATACAATAAAAACCTTCCATAGTAGACATTTCCATATAGTGAACAATTTTGGAAGTCAAAGTTATCACATTTTGGGTGTGGAATCAATTCGATGGACTCTACCTAATGGTGTCTACGATAGGGAGATTTTACTATATGTTAACAATTGTTAATTTTCCAAAAACGAAAATGCATGGAAAAATAAGTAGCAATGAGCAATAGTTAATTTTTTTATTCACTAACACCCTTCAGATGCCATGATTTTTAGATAAGATCTAGCCTCCTTATAGTCGACACTCTTGAAAAGTTCGAAGAATGTTCACTATAGAGAGGTTATACTGTATTATACTGTAACGAGAAATGAGTTTGGGAAGATAAAAGAATTATGTTAGATGATAAATCCTTACGTATAATCTCTACTTATTTGTTTTTTTAGAATGGCCTGAACTGGTCGATAATATATTATCTACATCAGCAACATCTGAACAAACTATTCCATTATATAATGATAAAATAACAATTGCTACTTCACCTTCATTGCCATCATTGTCTAATTTTGATGAAGAAACAAAAAGACGTATTTTAACTTTACTTAAAGAATTAGGTGAAAGTAATAATTCATCATCAAAAACTGATAATTCATCAACAACTAAATTAGCGTTTGTTGGTAAAAATCTTTATGTATGTTCGACATGTTCAGGTCCTGTGCAGTGGGTGTGAAACGAAAGAAAAACTTATTTTTCGTTGTTCTAAATAGACATGTATACTCGTACGATCTTTTTTATTGTTGGTCTTCTTCTTCATTTTATTGCTTATTTTATTATATTACTAAAGAAAAACACACGAGGGGCTCTTCTTTATTATTCTTATTTTTGACATTATCGATTTTTTTTTCTTTTTTTTTGTTCCATTTGATACGATGGTTATTGATTTTCATTTTTTTTCTCTTGTTGAATTTTTCAAACGATTTGAGCAAAAACGCAAGCAAGCAAGAAAGTATAAACGATGGCCAACATTGTCGATATAGTTCGTATGATTTTAATGATTTGCAATAAAATCGTTTTTTTTTTTGTCATCCCTTTTTCTTTGTTCATTATTAAATAAATTTATTTCTTTCAGATGCTTGCTGCTAAAGCTCACGAATTAATCAAAGAACTTGATCGTTCTCGTGATACAATATTACCTCCTTATAATATTGAAACTATTCGTCTTTGTCAACTTGAAGCAAATGAATTATTTCGTCAAAATTATGAAGATGTTCAAATAGTTGTACAAGCCACTACAGATAATAATGGTACAAATACAGCACCAACATTAATGCCAACAATAAGTATTCGTCATGCAGCTATACAACGTATAAAACGTTGTTTACTTGCATATGTATATCATCGTATGAATAAAATCAAATCACTTCGTTGGTCAATAGGACCTGTTTTACCAGAATATATAAGAAATAATTTATCAATAGATGAATTAGAATTTTTTTCAAATTATAATCAAACATTATCATCATATATGCGTTCAATTGGTAATAATCATGCACTTGATTTAACAACATTTATGATTCCACCAAAAAAATTATTTGCACATATTAAATGTATACAAGATTATGGTCCATATGAAACAAGTGATGGTACAATAATACAATTAACATTTAATAGTGAACATTATGTATTAACATCAGATGCTGAACATTTAATACAACGAAAAATTGCTGAACATATTGTTTAATTATCAGATAGAATATTTTTTTTTTCTTCTTTCTTTTTCTGCTGTCAGATTAAAAACAAACATCAGATATAATTATTACTATGACTATTCATTTTTTTGTAGATTATCTATTAGTCAGCAAAATGCCGTCCGATGCAAAAAAGAAACGTGATCTTCAAAAAAAAGCTGCAGCTAAACAAAGACACGCTCAGTCAAGTAAAAAAGTTAATATAACAAATAATTCTAATGCTAATCCAAATAATGATGATTCATTCGACGACAATGATGATGATGAAATTCAAAATGAAAATGAAAACCCTACAAATGAAGCAAATGGTAAAACAAATGAAGTAAATGGTGCAACATATGATATTGATCCAAATGTTAAATCAGTAATACAAAATCTTGATTTATTAACTATGGTTGAAAAAGCAAATGCCGAAGCAAGATCATGCACTGGTATGTAATAAAAAAAAAATTTCTTATCCTTTTATAAATCTCTTCTCTTCATTCTACTTTAAAAGGTGTTCTCGGAAGTCATCCTAGTGGTCGTGATGTTCATATTAATCAATTTTCAGTTACTTTTCATGGACAAGAAATATTAACTGATGCAGATTTTGAAATGAATTGTGGTAGACGATATGGTCTTGTTGGTTTGAATGGATCAGGAAAATCAACCATACTTGCTGCTCTTGGAAATCGAGAGGTAAAAAAATTTAGTAGAACTATAGTGAACAAAACTACCTTATGCAAAAGTTGTCTCGTATAATTTTCATGTTTCTCAATGAAACCAAAAAAAATCTTGATTTTAAATTTTATACTAATTCAATAAAATCTAATAAAATTGTAATTGTCTTTATATCATATCTTTAGTAAGTCAAAATTCGATTATTTTCTCTCCAAAACTTTTTCTTAAGGAAATGTAAATAAATGCCATATGAGAAAGTTTTCAAAGAGTTGATTATTATTCAATGCCGAATCACCTAAGTAATGTCGAAAAGAAAAACGTCCTACAGTTTGAAATTACGAAAGTTAGAGGGTCTGGATATGAGTGTGTATGTGGATCTTGAGATATGTACCTGTCGGGGTGTATAAGAGAAGATCCATGCTCATATCCTAGCTGTTATATCTCTAACATTAAATTAAAAAGTCTGTATTAATAACACTATAAAAATATCTTTTCTTTTACTACTTTCATACATCGTCTTTCAACATTTTTAGTTTTACACCGAATTCAGATTTACCTCAAAACCTTTTGAGGTAGTCTCTCTAAGAAAACGCGATTTTCGTCAGAAAAATGATTTTTGAGATAAACATATGAACATGATGCCTGAGTTACTTAGTGCAAGAATTCATAAAAAAAAATTTTGATTCTCGAAGGTTTAGGGGTTTGAGAGCGTGCGTGTAGATCTTCTCTTCGTCCATACCTCTAATTTTCCTTAAATATTCGAAAAAAAAAGCTTTCTATTTCAGAGAAAATTTTCCCTTATGGATATTTTGCCTACATCTATTCTATAAGAAACATCGAAAAACTCACTATAATATAGTAACCAACAAAAACTTCCAGGGAGAAAAGCTAGAAGCAAGATAAAATTTAGGAGAGGAAATCAGCCCACTTCCCTTCTCAAATTGCATGATCCACCCACATCCTCAAATTAGATGTTTTATTTTTTATGAGTAACTAATAAACAGTAACCATCATTATCAATCATTAAAAAACACTATAAGATAATAAGTTAATTTAAAAAAATTATTTTGTTGTTCTTCCATCTTTATTACATTGTTGAATAGGATAACAAATATAAAGTCAACAATAGATAATAATGTATTTTGTTCGAAGGCAATCTAATATAAATAGATAAGTGGCGATTGACATGTAATGTATTGTATGTTTCACCTTCATTATAAGTAATAATAGACAGACTACATAAAAGAAAAACTACTCTTGCATTTTTCTTAAAATTGATTTTTTGTTTCAGTAATGATCAAATTGCGGTCACATGTTTTCTCAATACACTTCGTTTTGTTTTCAATCAATAGATATATGCATAGTCTTTCAGATGACATGAAGGAATTTTCTAATTAATCGTCGATGTTAGATAAACCCAGAGTTCTTTTAGAAAGCCATGCATACAATTTCCAGACTTTTGACGTTTCAATGATCAGAAAAATGAAACAGAGTAGAAATTTTAAAATTCAAATAAAAGTAATCCGAGCTCTGCAGCTTGGTCCCTGGAGATTTCCTGAATAGTCAGCCGTGAAAATTGATTTTTTTTTTTATTAATGTACTTTAATGAGCCTAACCGTCTATGCAAAATTTCATCAACATCTCATGTACCCTATCGTAGTTAGTTTTTTTAGGAGAACCTCTTCATTAAGTAATTCTATCCAAAATAACATTTTTATTCACTATTAAATTTTCTTTCTTTTTTTTTTTTCTTAGGTACCAATTCCAGAACATATTGATATATTCTATTTATCACGTGAAATGGCACCAGTAAATAAAACAGCATTAGAATGTGTTAAGGAAGTTGATCATGAACGAATTAAACTCGAAGCTGAAGCTGAACATTTAGCAGCTTTAAGTGATGATCATGGTAAGTTAATACAAAATCATGTGATAGAGTCTGTGTTTTCTTTTTCTGAAAATGAATCATTAACAAAAACACACATATACATATATAGACAAAAAAAAAAGGCGGAAGCCGGATGTAACAAAACATATTGGGAGGAAAAAAAAGCAGAAACAAAATAAACTTTATCACCGGAGCAAACTGTTTAATTATCATCACTGGATCATATTTGTCTATATGTAAAGAAAACAAAAAACATCTAAAAAAAGAATAAGATCAATTGAGTTTTGCCATATTTTTTGATTCTCTTTATATGTTATATTTCTTACTGAAAAATGTCGGAAAATTGTCGTACCATGAATAATAGCTCATTACGGGACGGATGATGATCAATCAGCATTGATGAATGAATACATCAAATGATGCATAATATTTATCACATCAAGTTTTAAGTACTAAGTCCTAGAAGAAAATAAAATAAAAATAAATAATTATTTTATCTATTTAAACTTGCATCTGTAAATGATAAATCAATATCAATAAATGTTGAATTTGATTTTAATGGAACAATTGATGAAACAGTTGATTCAACATTTGACACGTAATTTGTTGTTTGTGTTGTACTATAACCAGACCAAAAAAATCCATAAAATGTTGCTAAAGCAATAGCAAATAATGATATTGATAATAAATAACTAAAAACAAGTAATAAACGTAAAAATTTTTTTCGCATTAAATTTGTTGGTTGTCGTAATGGAAATTGAGGTAAATTAGTATTATTTGTTGGAGAATTTTTAGCTATACTCATCCAAAGACTTTGTCGTTTTGATGCTAATGCTGTTGTTTGTAAACTTTTTCGACGTGGTAATAAATGAACTAGACTAGTTATTGATGATGGTCGGTTTGCTGGTATTGGTATTGGTGTTACAATATTACTCAGACTAGGAGATGGTGGTGGTGATGAAACTTTTTCAATAGTTGTTTTTATCGATGAATATGGAATATGATCGAGAACTGGTGATTCTTCAGTTGTTGCTTTGGATATTTTTTTTAATGATGGACGATTTTTAAAATTATGATTATTATAAGCTAGAAAAGCACGATTATATCTTGAAGTTTCCATAGAACATGAATGTTTTCTTGTTGAATAGAAGTTTTCTTTTTTTTTTTTTATTTTTATTGAAGTGCGTCTTATCTAGAAGAAATGAGAAAATATATGAATGGAGAATAAATGCGTGAACGAAGCTTAGACATTTCCTATTCGTCTAGACAACATTTGAATGAATTCTTCGTGCAGAAAATTATAGACGTTTAGTCAATAAAGACTACTATACTTGTTCTTACCTTGAATTAGAAAATTATAAACAGGAAATAGATAGATTCATACAATTGATTATGAAAGAAAAGAAGAAAAAGAAAAAAAAAGATCTATGTTAAGTATTAAGTGGCTTCATATAGAGAGAAGTTAATAATTCGATTTTTTCTTCTTTTTTTTTTTGGCATAAAAAGACGTGCGCCGGTTCCGCTCCGTTCCGTTTGTTACATGTAACGATGATGAGATAAGAAAGAAGAAAAAAAAGCTAGAAGACAAGATTAGAATATTGATCAAGAAACAAAAAAGAAAAAAGCGCATGAGCAATGAATGCCCTCAAAATAAGAGGAAAAAAAATGAGAAAAAAAAAAAGAAGAATATCTCAGTAGTATAAACGAGAAAAATAAATGAGAATCTATCTGCATAGAAACACTACACATTGTCAAGTGTCCCAATTATCTTATATATAAAGCAATGATTGTTGACATTCTCCTAGTGCTTCTGTTGAACTATGTCTATATATATATATATATATATGTGTGTCTATCTATCTATCTATCTATCTATCGATTTATGTGCCGTTCTGATGATAGTATCTGTCACGACAAAGCTAGTGTTCTTCTTTTTTACCAATAACAAAAGAATTACCGATGTTGTTTCTCGTCACTAGTGTTCTGATGTCCTTCTTCTTGTCTCATGTTTAGCTTTCATGTGCAGGCATATAGACAGAACTAAATATTCTTCAACACGCTGATGTCACGTCCCACATACATACAATAATCATCACATCACATAAGCAAAAAAAAAAGCAATACGATCCTTAAGGCTAGCTTTAAGATCTGATAATTGAAAGAAAACCTTGTGTAGACAACGCGTATTTTTTTTATACTGCACTAAGATTACATGAAGAAAAAAAATAAGAAATGAGGGAAAAAAAAATTATATTCATATCTATAATAAGACTTACTATGACATTATTACTTCAAATTTATTAGCCAGGAAACTAGATAAGCATATATGTGACTTATTGTTTTAATTGATGAGAAACGCGTGTCAAAAAGCATCCATCATTTATTTTTTTTTGCTTCGTCATGTTTTCATTGAAAGAAGAATGACAGCAGAGAAAAAAAAAAGAAAAAGAAGAAGTAATGTAAGAGAACGATGAGTTGTTGACTAATACTTCCTGTTACTGACTGACTGTGTGTGTGTGTGTGCATGTTACATATAATCATTTTTCTTGCTTTGTCAGTTCTCTTTAAATACTTTTCCTTCAATTAGACACCAAAAAAATCATAGTTTTCCTTTTCCTTCTTGCCATCGTTTATTGCTACCAGTCTATCTTACTAGTGAAAGATACAGCTACTAATGAACGTCATATTTTTGTTGTAGTTGTTGTTGTCGTTGATGCTATCTGTAAACACAACTTGCTTAGCGGAGTAGAAAATATTTACTACGAGATAGATAAGCTGTTTGCCTTTGGTTAATCTGATTGTAAAAATATTTTTGAACCAACGGCAGAATCGATAATTTATTGTTTCAAGCAATATCGAATAGAGCAACTAAGAATTTGTTTATTTCGTGACAGTTGAGTTGTCGATTGGCAGAAATGGAAACAAATTGTGTAGTAAAAGCCATGTGCCTTCTTTCTACCCCTATTATAGTAGTCGACACACTATACGATTAAGTACGGCGACAAGTGACAACTTGTTTTTGTGACTATCGGCCACATCAAGATTGAATCAAGTACAACGAACTGATCATTCTTCGTTTTTTTCTCCAATGAATACTATTATGAATTGAAAAAATAAATGTAAAAGAAAAAAAAACAATGGAGAAAATCAAAGGATATGCTTACATGCCAAAAACAACAGGCAAAACTAATTATTTTTTTTCATTATAGGAAAAGAAAAAAACCGGATGAATGTCAATATAAGATTGTTTATGTGCACGATTTGTTTGATAGAAAATCGCGATTCAGAACATGTGCTTACTTGTATTCATGACAATATAACATATGGGATAAATATCCAATTATTATGACCTTGTCTAGGTTTATCATTTTCTTAATAAATAAAAAAAAACGAAGAAAAAGGAAACGAATAGATCGGTTCAATGAATAGAAATTCGATGTTTGATATGCTACGATAAGAAAGCTTTATATGTAACTGATCAATGTCATTGTGTAGAGTACTGACAGCAGTAATGTCATATTTTGTCTTTGATTAAATGTTAAGTATTAGAGGACACGATGGCTGTACGTTGTGTCATATTTATTCATCAACACAGATGCTTCAAGAATATATTCTTTATAAGAAGGTCTATTTCATTAGCTTTATATCATTTACAAATGCTGATCGTTGAAAGATATTGCCCTTAAGAAATGCCAACTAGAAAAGAAACATCTTGACAAAAAAATAAATTAAATTGTTATAAATCACAATAGGTATTATAAATATGGTTTAATAGAAACAAGTAGTTTTTATTTAAATCTTGGAAAAATATCAATATTAAATTTCATCAAATATAGTCATTTTTAAGATCTCCTCTCAAAAATTGACCTTGAACCAAGTACATTCAAATCGCATAAAATTTTCAGAGATATTTTGGAACTGTAATGGAGAGTCTATGTTAAGATTTTCAGTTCTATACTATGATGTTTTCGAGAGATATTCAAACAAAAAAGAGTCCAAAATAGGTCATTTGATAATCCAAAATTCTCTGTTGGTCTTCATCCTGCATATTTAATTATTTTTTATTTAAAAAAAAAACATGTCAGACTGCAATGCCTTTTTTTTAAATTCCTACTTTTTAAGTGGAGATAAGAGATGAAAAATTCAATGTGCTAAAAATTCTCAAAAACATTACGTTTTGATTATAGAGGTGCTCTCTTATATAGAAGTAAAATAAAAAAAAGCCACTCTGTCATATTCTGCAGTTTTACATGCTCTTTCAAAGAAGAAAAAAACCCATTGGGTACAATGAAGCTCCTCCGAGAATTCTAGAATGCATGATCAAAAAAACATAAATACAGAAAAATTGAAAAAAAATTTTCGACTTCTTTGAAAGCGAACATTACTTTTAATTAAAAAAACAACGCAAATTTTTTGGAAAAAAAACAGATATCAAATAAAAAATCATGTCATTTATGAAAGGTCAAACCTCAGGCTATCTTCTCTTATACTTATCTCAATTTTCATATGTTTGACTTTTTTAAGAGGAAGAGGCTTAAACAATAAAGATTGTTATGAAATCAATACATAGTTTTTCTTGTATAAATCTTTAACTTCAAGGTATATTTGTAATATTATTCTTCGTCATTAATATTTGATTGATTGAGATTATTGATCTATTCGTGCCCAAAGGAAAGGAAATGATCGTAATAAAATACGTAGTGAATACTAGCTAACAAAACAAACATCAAAAGCCTGGAAATAAACAATAAAATATCTTTTCGATTGTAATAACTGATCATTATTTAATCATTTGCTTTATCTTTTTCAGAAGCTCAAGAATTATTACTTGACATTTATGAACGTTTGGATGATCTCGGCGCAGATAAAGTAAATATATATATATATATATTTTTTTTTATAAGACAAAACGAAACTATGATTCTTAATTAATTATTAGGCTGAAGCTCGAGCTGGTCGAATTTTACACGGTTTAGGTTTTACTAAAAAAATGCAACATAAAAGATGTAAAGATTTTTCTGGTGGATGGCGAATGCGTATTGCTCTAGCACGAGCACTTTTTGTTAGTCCACATTTATTATTACTTGGTATAATATTTATTTCTTTTACTTTTTAATTTTAATTTTAATTTTAATTATTCTAGATGAACCAACGAATCATTTGGATCTTGATGCTTGTGTATGGCTTGAAGAAGAACTTAGTAATTATAAACGTATTCTTGTTATGGTATCTCATTCACAAGATTTTCTTAATGGTGTTTGTACAAATATTGTGCATTTAACAAAAAAGAAACTTTTTGTCTATGGTGTAAGTTAAAATTAAAAAAAAATATTTTTTTTATGAATATTAAATAAAAACTCAAAAATATTTCTAGGGTAATTATGATGCTTATGTTCAAACACGACAAGAATTAGAAACAAATCAAATGAAAAAATATCAATGGGAACAAGAACAAGTAGCAAAAACAAAACATTTTATTGCACGTTTTGGTAGTGGTAGTCGTGCATCACAAGCTCAAAGTAGAGAAAAAACATTAGCAAAAATGATGGAAAGTGGTTTAACTGAAAAAGTTATTCAAGAAAAAGTATTATTTTCTTTTTTTTTTGTTGCTATTTATTTTCTATAATTCTATTTCAATAGACTTTATCATTATCTTTTCCTGATCCAGGAAAAATTCCACCACCTTGTTTAATGGTTCAAGGTGTTGCTTTTCGTTATTCTGATAATACAGTAAAAAAATTATTTATTGTTTAAATCTTTATTATTTTTTTTTTTTTCTAAATGTTTTCATTAAAGGATTGGATATATACAAATCTTGATTTTGGTATTGATCTTGATACTCGTGTTGCATTAGTTGGTCCAAATGGTGCTGGAAAATCGACTTTGCTTAAATTAATTGATAATCAATTATTACCAACTAAAGGACAAATACGTCGTAATGCGCATTTACGTATGGGTCGTTATCATCAACATTTAACTGAACAATTAGATCTAAATTTATCAGCACTTGATTATATGATGAAATGTTTTCCTGATATAACTGAAAAAGAAGATATGAGAAGAATTATTGGTCGATTTGGTTTAACAGGTAGACAACAAATATGTCCAATGAGAAATTTATCTGATGGACAACGATGTCGAGTATGTTTTGCTTGGTTAGCATGGCAAAGTCCACATTTATTATTACTTGATGAACCGACAAATCATCTTGGTAAAAAAAAACCATGCATCCTATTGAATATTAAGTTTACTTTGAATTTTTGTCTTTTTTTTAGATATCGAAACAATTGATGCATTAGCTGATGCAATACGAAATTTTGCTGGTGGAATGGTCCTTGTTAGTCACGATTTTCGTTTAATAAGACAAGTAAATATATAAGATAACAAATGATAAATCGAATGAAGTTTTTTTGAATATTTTCTTTAGGTAGCTGATAAAATTTGGGTTTGTGAAAATCAAGAAGTAAAAGAATGGCCCGGTGATATTCTTAGTTATAAAGAATATTTACGACAAAAAATGCAACCAGATTTTGCTCCACCAAAAAAATAATTTTATTCATGGTGGAAAAAATTTTTTATGTTTAATGGTTTTTTTGTTTTTGTTATGCTCATGTTATTCAATCTTGTTCGTTTCTTGTTTGAATGTATTTCAACAAAATAATCATCTTTATCCAGCATAACAGAGAATAAACATGAATAAATGATAGACACGACGAACAAAAAATAATAATAATAATAATAATAACAAAAATTTATTTCGTCAAATAATTTTTAAAAAAATGATTACAATAAGAATTTCAATAAATAAGAGAAGATAATCTTTTCTATTATTATATACATCTGATATTGAATATATTTCATGTTAGTTTAAAACAAATCATTTATAAACTCGAGATTGTTAGGGGAATATATATATACAGTAGTAGTCTGAAGCAACCAATATCAAGTGGTGCCTCGATTTTTGCAGAGGAAAGATATCTTTCTTCTAACAAAATGTCAAATGAGAATTTCTACTCTGCTGGGAAAACGTCAAAAATTTCCACAACTGGGATAGGAAGAGGATGTGACGACACAACCATCAATAATGTTCTATTTTTATGCTTATTATGTATGTACATTTATTTCGTTCTGTAATTTCCCTCTTTCTCTTGTTGTCCACACTTTATATATCGATGTCGACATATTTTTATTTTTCAGTAGTTACAGTCACTTTATTCATATTTCTCTCTTCTTTCACATTTTCTACTCTCTCTTTCTGCTTATTAAATATATTGTTGGCTTTTCTTTCTTATTCAATTCTGATTTTTTTTTCTCTTATTCTTGTCATTTGCCATCATTATTATTGTGGTACTTCGCATTGTCAATCGTTGCGTCTCAAATCAAGCCACCAATGAACATATATATATATATATAATATAGGGGTCACAAATGGTATTGTCTAATCGAAAGTAGCGAAGGCTAAAAACAGCTATGAATATTCTTTGATGAATAGTTTTCTATCTCTCTCGATTTCTTTGAAGATTATTTTAATAAATCAATTCATGTCCTATTATTCTATATACTTTAATATGTATTCTATGGTTAGTTAATTATTATTTTGCAATTCTTTAAAAGTTTTTGCTATATTGTTTATTTGTGAAGTATTGAGATGCTGATCAATCTTTTTTAAGTATTAATATTTAATGTTGTTATTGACAGTATTAGATACAAATTTGTTTAGTAAAAAATTTTATCAACAGAGCAAGCATATATATATAACGAGTGGTTCATAAATAATTGCACTAGTAGTATTTTCAAAACTCCATCACTTTTTTTCGCTTGATTGAAACATCTGTTTTTTTTTCTCAGAAGATAGCATTTGAAATTCTGCTCAAAGTATTCTACTTAATTTAACGAGTACAGTCCTCTCTATTTTTTTGAATCAAATGTAATTGGACAGCGATATCAAATACACAATGTAAATTTTTCTCTTCTTCAATTTTTCTTTGAAAGAACGTTTTATTTCGTCTATAAATATTATTTTTGTTGTTATATTATCTCAATTCATAGTTTTAGTCAGTTCATTTCGTAAACTATAATCTAACGAATTAAAATCAGGTCGATTTTGTAACTAATGTTTCTTCGGTATGAATGCAGGAAAATAGTAGTCTATGGACTAATTTTTCATTGAAGTAATGTGTGTAAATCTTAAACACATTTTGCTGACATCCAGTTTGCAAAATTAGTCCACTCTTTTTTGTGTAGAACAATCATGATTAACTCTTTAGCCTTTTTTTTTATAGAAAATAGCTAAAGTCTTCATACAGTAGCAGTGATATGCGCCTTGTTTCAATAGACAATTTTCTTGTTGATACGAACTGAATGTGGACGCGTGGGATGGTCGGATAAATTGATAGAGTCAGTGCTATTGATTATTTTTATCTCTAAATCAATTGTTCGTTTTGAAACCACTTCACCGGAATCACGATAAATTTTTGTGGATCCATCATTATTTTCATATTTATTTTTAACGGCTATTTTCATGCCTTTACTTTTCATTTTTTTTTTTAAATATATCTATAACAAATTTTAGATTGTATCATATATAGTTTTGTAGAGAATTTTCAAGTGCTAGTTTTTCATTTAAGAAAAAGCTTTTTTCCTATCAAGTAGAAAATAGGAAGAAAATGTTGGAAATACTAACAGTGAAATTATTTATGAGTGACTTATTACATACATTTAGAATGAAATATTTATGCTATAAATCCCAATTTATATTTCATATACTAAATGTATGACATTTTTTAGAATGAAAAATGTTTTATGGAGTTAATTGAAAATTAAAATTATTGTCTACTAAATATCATATCAATTGAAATATAATGTAAAGTGATAAATATTATTCATCTACATAGGTAAGTTTGCATTGCACTCATTCTCTATATTACTGTCAAGATGTTGGAACACAATTAATTTTTTTTACGATTAGTATTGCAAGGTGCTACCTTTCACGCTTCATCAATATTATGAAAAAAAAGCAAATTTCATTTTAAATGTGATTATCTACATGATTGACTGCTTTCGTATTTTCCATTGACAAGAGTAACACGTATTAACATGATCTGTAAAAAAATAAATCATATAAATATATTATTTATTGCCCTATGCTGTTATTTTTTTTCTCTATATACATTTAAGTATAAATCATTCGTGTCTATGTTTATTAACAAGTGATATAGGTAAGCTCATGTCTATATACTTATTTCAAATTGAATTAATATTTAATTATGTATTAACATAGTTTTATTTTAATAAGAATAAAAATAAGTTTTTCAGTATACATAATCAAATGAAATAAACACCGAACAAAAATGAATACAATAATAGATAGATAATGGAAGTATTAAAAAAAAGCAAGACTTTGAACTAAAACACAAATATTACATATGACGTGTATTACCAAAATTCATGCCTGATTGTGTCGCTCCTTTATTATATCCATATTGAGTACTAATGACCATATTACCTTGTTTTAATGTTTCTGCTGAAAAACTTCGTTCATTTTTATCACTTTCTTTTGGACCTAAACCACGTAAACCTTGTTTTTGAGCCTAATTAAAAATAAAGTTTTTTTTTTCTGTTTTTATAGGATAATAAATGAAATAATTTACTTTTCGACCAAGTGCAAAAAGACAAACAATAACTTGATGGAGATTCAATTTTTCATATAGATCAACTGTTTGAAATGTTTCAGCATCAGTTAATCCATAAATTTTAGCTGCTTGAACAAAACGAGCAATATTTTCCATAAGTTTAAAACTATTTTCACCTAAAATAATTTTTTGTTTAAAAACAAAACAAATATTCATCGAAAATAATTACCATTATTAATTTTTGGAATAGAATTTGGTACAATAGAATTCATTAATCTAAAAAGCAAAAATAAAATAAAATATATAAATATGGTTTGCTCCCAATTTGGTCCCATTGGATGATCTCTTATTCATTCGGATCCCTTTCCAGTTCGTTCATAATTCATCAAATTAAAAGGTGTTGATAAGCCTTCACTTATGTTCACGATTAGTCATTGAAAGAATTCATTCTCGAATAGTTATTGGTCGAGTAGAATCAATATCATAATTCGATTTAAACCAAATAACGTGTCAGCAATCATTTGTAAGATATAAATATAGAAAATAAAAAGTGAACAACAAGTAATATACAATTCACAACTACACATTGTAATGTACTTGCACTTAACTATCATGATTTACAATTCGAACGATCATATTAAGATCGCACTAAGAGATCATCAAATAGGACCGAATCGGAGACTATCCATAAATACATACTGGCAAAGTTTACGACCATCTTTTAATTGATTATAAACATTATCCATATCACCACTAGTATCAAATTGTTCACCAATCATTTCTTTAATCCATTCTAAAGCTTCATAAGCTTGTACAACATCATATTTTGATTGAACCTATCAATTAAAATATAAACAAATAGAAAATTATTATCACTTAATAAAATAAATCATTTTGTCACCAACCTTCTCCCATGCGACATGAGCAAAACCAGATTTTTGAGCGCGCATTACAGTATTCATTTTTTAGACTTTTTTTGCTTTTCGAAACTTTAAGAATGTTAAGTCGATGAATCTTTCTTTTTTTTTTTCTTCTTCTTCTACTATTTGATTTTCACTTTCTCGAATCGATTATATTTACAAACATATATGAAGAAGACAATGAGAGTGAGAGAGAGAGAAAACGTCTTATGTGTAGGCATGTTATAAACATGTTACTATGTGTATATGAATAGAGAAGATAAAACGAAAAATAACCTTTTTAGAAAAATACTGAATAAGAGAAAGAGAAAAAATTGTATTCTAGTCGATAATCATGTGTTTTTTGTACTTGAATGTCAATTAAATGTGATTAAATCCAATTATCTGTTTTGTTAGTTACATGAACTATGACACAAATGAAAACGCATATAAACAAAATTATTTTGAAGAGTTTAAAGTATTGTTCTTGATCATAACAATGTTAAAATGTAGTACTTCATAATCATCAAAATATTTTATTTGTTATTTTTTTTTTTACATACTTTATCATATGCTTCCTTTGCAAGACCGTGTTTTGTAGGTCGATCAGCCATTAATCTTTTCGTAGATTTTTTTTTTATTAGTGTTGAATTATTCGAAATTAGTTAATTAAGAATGCAATAGGCAAGCTGAAATAAAAAAAACAAACGTAATACAGAAGTCTTTCATAGGGCAAGGTTACATTTTATTATAAAAATAAAAGGAGCAAAAACAAAAGCGTTGTCAGTCAAAACAAAAGAATTGTGTTTTTCCTTTCGTATGCGTGCACTATCAGCTCGAAGGTGGCATACGACCTTCGTTCTGTTCTTCAATTCCTTACCTTCTCAAATTTTGACTTTATTTCCCATTGGATCGTCTAACATTTTGATAAAAAATGATCAATATCAACCTGATCCTTCGACTTGGAAAGAAAAACTAAAGCAACAAAAAAAAATAGAAATCATAGTTGTTACTGAACTGAAAAATAAAAGAAAAAGAATATGAGTCATATTTTATTTATTATTATCGATTGACAATGCAGGGAATGAAAAAAAAACAAGAAAAGAATAGCAGAACTTTCTTTTCATTGTTATTTTTCAAAACAATGTAAAAGATCAATAATCTTATTAATACTTATCTACATGCAATTATATATTGTAATCGTAGATAATACAGTGATATTAGCTTTTGCCATGACATCTGTGAAACAATCAGGTCAATATTCACCACGCTGCACATGTTGGCATCCATTGTTACCAACATTTTCTGCTAGAATAATTTTTGCTCTAAGAAACCTATTTGGAATTGCTGTAAGTTAATAATGAAAATATTTCATATATAAATATATCTTTGTTTTTTTTTGTTCAACTTTAGTGTTGTGCTGCATTTACTCTTTCTCCTGTAACTTCGAAATTAATTCAAGGTCAAGTTCTTTTAGGTCTTGGTTTTATAGTTGCAATACAAAGTACACTTGGTGCTACAATTCAAGCAAGTAGTCGTCTTTTTCTTGGTGGTGCTATTGCTGCGATTTATTGTCTTATTATTGTTAATTTTTTTCCAAGAGATATTTATTTTGGTGTTGGTGCTACTAATATTTTTGTTCTTCTTATCGTCTACACAGATTTACCAGCAATTGTTCGTCGTTTTTCAATTTTACCAACATGTATTATACTTGTTCAGTGGTTTAATAAACCTTATATAAATACATTCTATGTACTTCATGTATGGGCATCATTATCAATAGGTGGTACACTCGCTATTATTTCATCATGCATTCCATTACCTGTCTTACCAACTGCATATCGTGAATTAACAAGTCGTATGAAATTTATTTCTCGACAAATACGACGTGAAATAACAGGCATTGTTTTACTGACATCCGAATATCATAATGTACATTTAAGTGATGATTATGATTATAATAATAAAATAAATCAAAGAAAATTTGAAAGTAATACTATTGATGAAGATAACATTGATATATCAAAAACTTCTTATCGTAAAGATGATTCTTATAATTATTCAACATCATTTGAAAACTTAAAAGATGATCATTTACTTAAAAGTGATATAGAAGATTTACATTCACTTGTTCGTGAAGAAGTAAAACATATGGAACGTGCTTTAACAGAAATATCATTTGAACCATATTTTATATTATTAAAATTATTAAATTTCATACGAAATATCTTTTCTAACATTCTATTTTTTAAAAAGTTTATTAAAAAACAACCATCAACACTTCAATCACGTTTAGAAGTATGGACAACAAGTTTTACTTCATTACAAAGAACACTTACTGGCATGTTATCATTAGATCATCATCATCATGCATTTGTTGGTCAACAAGAATTAATTAATGTAAGGTTGTTTTTGTTTTAGATTTGTTATCATTTGTCAGGAGCTATGGTATTTTTAATCAATCTTTAAATCATATTCACATTTATTAAATAATCAAACAATTAAGATCAATTCTTATGATCAAATAGGGATTTTCTACTTCTCTTCCTACGATTGTATATCAACTAGGATACAATTTTCTAAGTATATATGACGATGGTATGTAATCAAGATTCACTAAAGATAGTAACATTCGCAAAAAAGTCTAAATTCAGTAGTTTTAAATAACGATTACTAATAGTTGTACTCTGTAATATAACTTAAAATGAAAGTAGAAGAACATATTCAGAAATAAAAGACTAGAAAGTATTATTAAGAAATTTTTTAATAAATCTGATAATCAGAATGTATTTTGAATTGTCAAAAATAACTTTCTCGTATTTAGAAAATAAAACAAATACATGTTTTAATAGTCGACATGTGTACATGATTTCTTATCATAATCGTTCTATGTATCTTATGATAGAGCAGAAAATGTGTAATTGTTTTCTAAAAGTAGAATGATCATTAAGTTCTTCGAGTTTTCAGTCAATATTCTAGTAATAAGAAAGTTATTTTCTCATTTAATACCGAATTTGTGTAACAAATAGAGCGAAGACTTTTATTAATTGCGACAGTTGTACTGCTATTTTATTAGAAGCACTAACAATAAACATAATAATAAAAGTGTTATAAAATTAATGAATAACAGATATTCGGTCGACGATACTATTACATTATAATACTAGGAAATCACGATTCTATAATACATATTATGCAATGATACAAACATAAGCACTCTACTATATTTATAATTTGGAAGCCATCGCACCTAAAAATACATTTAAAGCATTACTATTTCGATGTTAGACTATTATTAATAAGATCGTATCTGTGTTGTAAAATGTGTATAGTATGGTATGAGTGTTAGGATGGTACTGGATTATGATTTGTGTAGTATATCTCTTTGTTAAAAAAAAACAAACTTTTAATTAAAGCCTTTTACTTGCTCATCAGAATTGATTCGAGGAACTACAATTGATGGCAAATGATAGGCATTCGTTTTTTGTTAAATACGGTACGAAGCACAGGATCTATGTCGTTCTTCACGAGTTTTTATTTTCTTTCTTAGTCTACGCACTGAAAGCTGATATTTCCAGTTGTAATGATTTCGAGAATGAAAAATCACATAAGATCCGTTAAAATGCAAAATGAAAAGTTCGAGATCAAATTGATATCATCCGTATGTTAAATAGGATGTTCCATTTGATTACAACGAGACCAGAAAAGGGCAAATTTTTGTAAAATTCATTTTTTTTTCTAGCTTCGAAATAATTGAAACGAAAACAGTAACAATAGTTAGTCACCACTTTCTTTGATCAAGAGTTTATATATATATGACAGCTGTGAATACAGCTGATGATAGACAAAGAATTTAAGATAAAATCAAGTGACCAATCAATTGTTATTTATCAGAAGTATGTTGATATCTGTTAAAAGAGTTCTCATAGTAATGAATTTTATAATGGCTATTTTTCACTTTCATTCTGATTTTGATCAGTTGATTAATCCAAATGTAATTTGTCCGATTATAGGGACAGAAACAAATTTCACTCAAGTAAACTGTAAATATCTTTTACAGAAAAAAACAAGCAATTCATACTCAATTCATCGAAACAATTATTTACTTTTTCAAGATATCAATTTCTTCATAATTGATATTCGTAGTTTTGCATCGTATTTCGCAATCGAATGAAATTTGAATGCTATATAACATCATTTGTTAAAATTGATAAAAATAGAAGAATGATTATTAAAAATCGAATTAATTATTTGTAGGCAATATGTCTTCTTATTGATTCAACATTTAATTTTTTGGATGTTACATTGCCATATACAATATTATCGACTAGTAATATCAATATTGAACATATTCAATCATGTCGAGAAAAAGTTGAAGAAGCATTAGAACATTTTTTTGAAACATATGCACAATTACGTGAAAATTCAAATCATTCAATCATGTCAAATACAGATTTAATACGTTTAAATACATTTCTTCTACTTATTTTACGTCTTGTTCATGTAATTATAACAGCTGCTGAAACAAGTGAAACACCAGGTACTCGTCTTGATATTAATTGTGAACAAATAATAAATTCATCTATTAAAACAAAATTATTTAATTGGAAAAAAATATGTTTTGATTTAGCTAATTATATTGGATTAAGACCATCATTTGGTAAATTTGTACGTGCTATAAAAACAAGTTTAAGTGTACTTATTTCAGCTATTGTTGCACTAACATTTCGTGAACGTCTACAAGCATCGAATTGGATATATTGGGCACCGATGACAACAGCACTTGTTTCAGATTCTTCAGAAGGTGGTACGCTTCGTTTATCATTTCATCGTTTAGTAGCTGTTTTAATTGGTTCAACGTATGCTTATATTATTATACTTATTGCACAAAATCAACTTACCATTGGAATTTTTATATGTTTATTTGTTGCCTTAATGGGTTATATTAAAACTGATACACAAAAAGAATATTTTGCTGTTGTATGTGGACAATCAGCTTCAATAATAACATTTCTTTCTCATCAAGAAGGATTACAAGAATCAAGACAAGCCGTTTTAGCTCGAACAAGTTTAACTTTTTTAGGAATATTTATTCATGTTTTTATTTCTAATCTTCTTTTACCTATATCAGCTCGAAGATTAACTAAAACAAAGGTAAATTCAAAAATTAATTTTCTATTTTAATTTCTATGAAATGAATTATTCTTAAGGTATTAACTATGATTAATAATATATCTGTTGCATTAAAATTAGCTTGTGATAATTTTTGTTCATTTATTGAACCAACAACAAATTCAATTTTAATAGATCAACAGACAACATCATCATCATCGTCATCAAATAAAACAACATTTGATTTTATGAATACACTTGCAGAAACAGAAAAAATTGTAGATAGTTTTCCAGCATTACTAGAAGAAGCACTTAATGAACCAAATTTTTGGAAACGTCCATTTGTAGAAGTTAAAGATTGTTATGATGGTATATCGAAAACATTACGACGAATTATTCGTAATATTCGATTTATTCATCGATGTACAACAATACTTAAAGCAGAAACACAATTACATTTTGCACTAGAAGCTAAGTAAGTTTTTCATTTACTATTCAAAATATTGCAGTCTTCTAGTATCTATAAATCGAAAAAATAGAGATTAATTATCATTTTGTTTTTGATAAACAATAGAATGCGTTTTTTAACATGACTTTTTAGTTCATATATTTATCGAATTTGTGCACTTCATAAATGTCTAGATGTCCAAGTAATAAATATAACAGATCATATGCTACTTTGATTTTGAAGAATTATAAAACTGTAAGATTATTTCTGTGTTTTAAATAAGCTTTAGATTAGAACTCGAATGCAATCAACTCTACTGATGACACATGATAAATCTAAAGTTTTCTTATATTTATTTACCATGAAGAATTTTTATCCTAATACAAGTTCTCAATAAATTTTAAATCAATATTAGAGGACGATAAGTTCAGTTCTAGTTCGAATCTAAGAAACTATTGAAAATATCATCTGATCTGAACTAATATGTTTGAATAATATTTGAGAAAAGCACTCACGGGTTTAAAAAGTCATTGTTCTATTACTGAAATACAGTTTACAAAATAGAACAATACTTTTCGGACAGATCAGTTTTTATCAGAGGAACTGTTCGAATAGATCTTTTGCTCATTTGATCTGAACTTTAAACTAAGCGTTGATCGATTCATAATCAGTATGAAAGATTATTTTTTAGACTTATCATCGATTTATTCATTATTAACTATCCTGTGAGAACAGTATTTTCAGTTATAATTTTCACCATTTTATTAAACATATTTTTTAAACTTCATATAATTGTTTTTAGATGGCAACTTCGTCGAGCAAGTGTTATCTCGAATAATAATACAGAAACAAAAGGTCATTATTCATGGACAATGGCAGAATTACGTAAACAAAGACAATTGCAAGATGATCTTGATATTCCATTAACAATATTTATGACACATTCTCAACATCCATCAACTGAAGTTGAAAAACAATCACTGATACCAAGTAGTTCATCAATATCATTTCGAATAGCAAATATAAAATCATATCAACCAGTCCTTGAACATATTCGTACACTTGAAAAACATATTCAACAGGTTATATTACTAACAAAACAATTAATTGAAAAACAAATAACTGTTGATGTTGGTTCATTTGAATTACAACAATTATGTCATGAAGATTTATCAGATGAACAACAAAAAGATAATAATTGTCAAATGAAATTTTCAAATGATCGTTCATTATTTTATTCTATTATACAATATGAATTTAAATCATGGTCTAAAAATCATCATAAGTGTTTTTCTTGTTGTCATAAAAATCAAAAAAAAATTCATCAATCATTACCATCATTACGTAATGCTGTTGATTTAATGCTTACATCATTAATACAATTTCTTCATGCTAATAATCATTTTATTCGTACTGAATTAGTATCAATACAATCAATTGGTGATATTTTAGCATTTCATACAGTATCATATGCTTTAAAAGATATGGTTGAAGCAACAACTGATTTAGCTAAAAATGCTCGAAGAATTAAACATATTGATATTCGAACATTAATACGTGCAGAACGTGAATAAAAAGTTCTAAATATCTGTGTTTTTTTTTTTAAATTTATTCATGCAGATCCACTGTTATTTTTATTTTATTGATTGAAATGTTCTAGTGTGCTTTTTTTCTGTCTCTTCTATTTGTTGATAAAAAAAAAATGTTCATTTAATTTACAAATATTGTTAAAAATAGGTTGAATCACACATTCTCTTTTTTTTGTTATTTTTAAAAATATTTCTAATAAATATAATCTCATTTTGACCATTTTCTAATGAGTTTTTATAGATATTATGTAAAGTATTAAATGATATATTTCTTTTCTGTTTTCATATTAATCAAATTTTGCTATATTATTGTTAAATCAATGGCAAGAGAAACATTAGAATATATTGATGGTTATCGATCATCTTGTAAATATCATTTGAATGGAAATGTTAATATTATTCTTTCAGCTCCACATGGTGGAAGTTTAATGCCTGATAATGTACCTGATCGAACAAATGATGTTTATATTTGTTTGTCAAATACACATAATAATTGTCATGATGATAAACGTTGTAAAATAATCGTTATAAAAGATACTCGTACAGATGAATTTACTGAAAATGTAGCAAATGAATTAAATAAAATAGGAAATTTAAAACCTTTTGTTATTATTGGTAAATGGAATCGTAAAAAAGTTGATTTTAATCGAGAAATTCTTCAAGGTACATTAAATCATCCAGAAGCTATATCTGCTTATGAAAATTATCATATGAATTTAAATGATGCAATTAATCAAGTTAATCATTTATTTGGTAAAGGTCTTCTTATTGATATTCATGGACATTCTCAAGGAAAGTATGTTAAAATTAATTTAAAAAAAAAATTGATCTATTTAATAAAATTTTATTTCATTGTTTTTTTTTCGAGTTATTCAATGATTGGATATATGTTATCAAGTGATCAATTAAATCAAAATGATTTATCAAATCCATCATTTCAAACATCAATTGAATCATTATGTGGATCAAATCGAAATGAATGTATTCGTGGTCAAACATCATTTGGATCAATATTTGAACAACATGGATTAGGTGTTACTTATCCATCATTAACAAATCCTAAACCAGGATCTCGTGTATTTTTTCATGGTGGTTATATCATAAAGAATTATTATTCAAAAATCAATGCAATTCAAATAGAATTACCTCATGATATTCGTACTGGAAAAAATAAACTTATGAATGCACAAAATTTTGCACAAGCTATTATTGAATACATGAAAACAAACAATTTATTACTGACAAAGTAAAAGAAAAAAAATCGTATTGAATTGTTTAATAAATCAAAACTAAACTGTTGTTAGTAGTTTAATTATACTATTACAAGAATTTAAAATTAAATAGATTCAGCAGATTTTAGTAATTGAAAAAAATCTATGTAATTGTAGATCTTCATATATATATATATTATGTTAGTTATATGATGAAATTATGATCAGTCATTCTTCTTTGTACATGCATACATGAATAAGTTGTCTTGAACGTTTTCAAAAAAAAAATACCACTGTAATTTCCAAGTGTTAATAATTGTGAACACTACTATTTTATCTTCATCGTTTTCTATATGAGCCAATTCAATAATAATTACTGCTATATACTTCAGTTGTGGAATATCTAGCTGATTCAAAAGTTCTTGGAATATATACGTTTTTATTGAATACATTATATTTTTGAAAATCCTATTTCATTAAATATTCAAAGTACTTGTGCTTACTTGTTATATAGAATTTCATTTGATCAACCCATTTGTAAAATGTCTTTTGAAACTCATAATATGGTATGGCGCAAGGCTCCTTGGTTACAACTTGTTATAAAAACTCGAAAACAGGGCAACTGTTTAATTGCCATTTCAAATAAACAAACAGCCAAATCTCAGATGGTACGAAATCAGGGAAATAAGGCAAATGAGGCATCACAATCACATTTGTATTCTGAAGGAATGTTTTAATATCTTCCGTTTTGTGAGCTTGTGCATTGTCGTGGTGCAACTTTATGATGTATAAACTAGATTTTAATTTTTTTATTTCTGATATTATTAAACAAAAGTTTCGAGCTATTGGCTTTCTAGTAGGTACCAGATATTCTGTTATTGGATTCAATCATGTGTATAAATTGTGATCCTGTTACACTATAGAAGACAACACATATGTTCTTTAGCTCGTATTGGCTGCACTTGACTAATGTTGTTTGGTTGATCTCTTTAGAATACCATGTCATATTGGATTGTTTCGAATCACTGCTACGATGATAAATTCATGTTCCGTTCCCTGTAATAATAATACATAGGCGTTATTGACCAATTTCTAATTTGGCAAGATTTTTTTGACATATGTTAATCTGTTATTGTTTGCATTTTTCGGTCAGCTGATGTACCATTCATTATGTACACAATTTTTTAAATTTCAGTTCTTCATAAATGACCCTGTTAACAGTGTCATAAGACAGACCAGTCTCAAATCCGATGTATTGAATGCTAATGTGTAGATTTTCGTCAATTAATGCATGAATGGTTTCAATATGTGTGCCAATGACTTCGGTTACTGGTTACCCAATTCTTGAATCACCTTCTACAGAGATTCTGCGATGTTTAAAGCTCTTCACCAACTGAAAAAGGGCTCCGAGAACTTTTGGATCATCTTTTGTAGATCTTGTTTTATTAAAGTTGATGAAAAGGTAAATCTAGTCGATATATATGTGATTAAAAAAACCGTCGAAAAATATGATTTACCCATAATATAAGATGTATTTAGGATCTAAGTAAAAACAGCTTCAATATATAATATGAGAACATACGTAACATAGAAAGTTGTATGGAGCTTTCAAAAATTGACTTACGAATAAAAAAAATACATAATACGATAGATCTCTAAATAGATAAATATGTAAATGACACGAAAAAATATTCTTGAATAAAAGACAATCATAACATTTCAGATGATAATCCATATTTTTTTAAGGCACAAAGAATAGTGAAGAAAATCTTGCTTTGAGTGGCTCGATTAAAACATCTCGATTGAAACAGATGCGGTACAGATTTCAACTATCTAACTAAATAGCAGATTTTGTATGTCTTGTTTATTGTCAACTTTAATTATTATAATTCATTTGGTTTAAAAGTTGATCTAAACTGCGATTATTGAGTAAATGATCGTAGAAAATTACATATTTTATCTTCAACTCTTGCAGATGAAAATATATGCTTTTTAAAAACGTATAGATCTCTTAAATAATGCATACACAATGCGTACCTATGAAGTTCAATTTACGCGATCGACCAGAGAATGGTGTTCATTATCTTATCTATAGTAGACAAAGCAGTCACATTAGTGACGTTAATTAATATGTACATCATGTAATTTTTACTATTTCTTATTTTAATGAAAGGTTTCTTCATCAATTTGAAAAAAAAATGTTACTCACACAAAATAAAAATACAAATTAATTAAACAATATTAATTATAACAAAATCACATAGGGTCATTCATGTATATGTCATGTAATCGTTACAAGGATTTTTTCTTAGTAGCAAACTCTGCTATATAGAACACATTCCTGCAATCACATATTTGGTTTCATCGATCAGTTTGACTAAGAATTAATCAAAACTAAAAAACAATAAGTATATTTGGAAATGAGAGAACATAAAGCAGATGGAATTAAAATTCTTTGAAGTCTTAAATTTAAAAGCAGTCAAAAACATTTTCAATCATTAACTATCACTCGTATCACTATCGGTTATTAGGAATGGTTTATTTGATTTCGAAATATTCGTTCAATGTTCTTTGAGATACTTTAGAGAATATCATCGTTTGTGCCAGTTCGTTGCTCTAGACGATGATAGATTATCCAAGGCGATCATTCTGACTGTTGAAAACGACATAATATATCATCAAGTTTCTCTGCAATCCGTCATCGCGTTTTTTTTGCGGACCGTTTTTTCCGTTAACCATCGACCATTGTTTTTCAAACTATGCTCGTCATTTTGTGGAATGATCAGAATGAGGACATGATAGTGCTAGCTTTTGTCGTTTTATATTGTTTACCGCTATTTGCAACGTCATTTTCTTAGACTTGAACATATCATAAACAGAGAAAACATACACGTTTTGAAAGATGTTGTTGAATCGACTGACAATCGTAATCATGTGATATGTTAACTTTGGGGAAAAGTTTATTCAATTGTAAACATTGATATAATTCGATGAACTATCTATTCTTCGTCGTTTAACTCTACAACATAAATTCCTGCAAAATTAAAATTTGCCGTTGAAAATTGCGAGATACAATCTGATGAAAGAATTCTAAAGAGCATTTGTTTATTACCCATTGAATTGATGTACGCTATAAAAATGTAATATATAGTAGGCAGACTTCCAAGGTTAAGCACATTAACAAATCTTTATTTTACGTCGTCGATCATAATTCTTTTTTATATCCAAAACATGTATGTATGCATAAACTGAAAAGAGCCACGTCATTGATTAAGAAACAATAGGCATTAGGTTGATCGGTGTCAACCAATAACGCGATATAGTAATATTCTACACTGGAATCGTAAATTTTACAAAGACTACGTCATGTTTGAGGAGCTCCTACATCCGTCAGAATAAGCAATCGTCATTAATGTTTGACTTCTTCCCACTAAACTTGAAGACATAATGCTTGAATAGTTTCATAATCATTTAAATAAATCTTACAAAAAAGTATTTTTTTTTTATTGAAACATTCAATCGTAGAAAATAATTTTATAGACAAAAACAATGAACAAAACAATTATTTTAAATATTCAATCTAAGTCATTTTGTGGATGCATCATTGTTTTATCATTCTTGTAGTTAAATTTACGATTAAGAATAAGAAGAAAAATCATTTTGATAACTGATATATTGATAGAGAATATTATATTTTGTCAAATACATTCACAGTGATGAATATATTATTATTATAACAATAGTATTGCAACTTAATAGACTTCGTATCAGTTAGGTGTCTTTAGAAATCTCGTATAGACTATGCAGGTGATGTTGTAGCGCGTAAACAGTGTATTTATGATTCAGTATAGTATTTGTATAAAATTGTTTGTGTGTAAGTTAACTAAGAAGGCATGGAAGAAACATTTATTCTTGTCTTGTATTTTTTCCCTTCTACTCGATTGTGAAAATTTGCCAATGACACAAGATAAATTATCAACAGAAAATATCATTCAGCAATTCTTTAAGATACTTTTCTATTATTGCATACATTCTCGTTACATGAAGCACATCATTTGCCATCATCATCATCACAATCACTAAAATCATCATCACATTTCTTCTGTAATTGTTGTCGTTTTCGTTGAAATGCAAACATTTTCTTGCAGCTCATCACCATCAATATCATTCAATTCCGAGCTGTCGTCATCATTATGACGACGTAACTCACAATAGTCTTCCAAACATGAATGATAGTCATTAGCCATAAGCCTTTATAAATGTGGTGAATAGGCATTGATGACAATGACTATAGCGATTAATAGAATACAACTAAATAAAATTTGTTTCTTTTATTTTGATTGTTTTTGTTTTTATATACTATTAAAAATACTTATTTCATCTTGTCTGTCTAATGTGTTGCTTGAGAAAATGTTTTTTTTTAATATTAATCATTAAGGATCTTATATATTAATGATGGAAGAATAAATTAAAAAAATAAAAAATAAAATATTAATTCAATTAAATACATAGAATCAGAGAAAAGATTGTAAAGTTATGATTAAAAAAAAATAAACAATGCTAATCATAACGATCTTTTTAATTAATTTTTCTATTTTAGAGCTTCGATTTTGGCATTGCAACAAGATGTGAAGACTTGCCATTGTTCGGTAATGATGCACATCCGCAAAGCATCACTGCAAGTTTAAATTCACGTTTCAATACTTCGAATACATCAACTACACCTTGACATCCACCTACTGCAAGACCCCAAAGAACAGGTCGACCAATAAGTACAGCATCTGCTCCAAGAGCTATGGCTTTAAGAACATCTGTACCACGTCGAACTCCACCATCTATATAAATATCAATCTTTTTCTTAGTTTGCATTCCTCGAACAATTGCAACAACTTCAGGTAGAGCTTCAATTGTACTTAATGTTGTATCAACTTGTCGAGCACCATGATTTGATACAATAATTCCATCAACATCAGCTTCAACAGCTAATTGAGTATCTTCGCTAGTCATTATACCTTTAACAATAATAGGCAAACGAGTTATTTGTCTTAACCATTTAATATCAGACCATGTTAATGATGCATCAAGATTTCTTGCAATAAAATCATTTAATGCTGATACATGATCACTTTGTGCATGTTTTAAATCACCATCATATAAATTTTCTAATTGCATATTTTCTGGTAAACGAAATCCATTTCGATGATCTGCTTCACGATTACCAAAACGACAAGCATCAACAGTAAGAACAAGCGCACGAAAACCAGCTTTTTCAGCACGATGAACAAGTCGTTTTGTAAATTCACGATCTTTAACAATATATAATTGAAACCATAATTGTGATTTTGATGTTGGATATTCTTTTAATGCTTGTTGATGTTCATGAGCAACATCTTCTAAACGTGTTGTTGATAATGAAGAAAGTATCATTACTGTATTAGCACGAACAGCTGCACGTGCTGTACTTAATTCACCACGATCATCAGCTAATCGATGCATTGCTGTTGGTGCAATTAAAATAGGTAATGAACAAGTTGTTTGACCATTTAATAATGTAACAGAACAAGTATCTGAATTTGTACCATGATGAGAAACATCAACAAATACTCTTGGACGTAATTTAATACGTCGATAAGCATTTATATTATCTTGTAATGTTAATTCATCATCAGCACCTGATCGATAATAATCATAAGTCATTTTCGAAAGTTTTTCTTTTGCTGCTTGATGATAATCTTCTATATTAAGTAAAATTCGCGATGATTGTGGAGTATTTGTATTCACTTGAGGTAATGTACTGTCTTGCATTTTTTTGTCACACATGGTTAAGAGCAAACGTATATTTGTCTATTGTTAAATCACTCTGACTCGAAAATGATAACACATATATACCTTATCTATTAATACTACTTGCGGCATCTTATTGTAAAAAACAAATTTCTTTCCAATTGGTTTTTACCATATACAAATCAAAAGGGAACAATCAAATGAAAGTTGCAATTCGAGTTCTGTTTATCTTCTCATATATCAATTTTCATCGAAAATGGCAAATTCAAATCGTATTTGTATAATAGGTGGTGGTGTTATTGGTGCTTCAATTGGTTTTCATTTATCAGAAGCTGGATGTTCGAATATAACTATTGTTGAACGAACAAATATTGCTTGTGGTGCAAGTGGCCGTTCAGGAGGATTTCTTGCAAAAAATTGGCGTTCAGGTGTTGAAGGAAAATTTTCTGAATCAAGTTTTTTAGCTCACAGTGAACTTGCCAAACGTTTAAAAAATGAATTTTCTATTGATGTTATGTATCGTCGTTTAACAACATACAATATATCAGTAAGTGAAACCCCTGATAAAAAATCATCAATTAAACAAACCAATGATAATCAATCATTACCAAAATGGATTACAGCTGATATTCGTGAAAAAGAAATATTAGGAAATGAAGATACAACAGCACAAGTTCATCCAGGGTATATTTTGTAATAAATAGAATATTTATTGATGAAGATATTTGTTTGTTTTTTTAGATTGTTAACAAATGCTTTAGTAAAAGTAATTGAAAATCGAGGTGGACGTGTTATTATTGGTAAAGCAAATGGATTTCTTTTTGAAACTATAACAACTCATACAGAAAAAGATGAACATCATCAAACATCACCCATTCGAGCTATTAAATTATTAATTGAAAATCAAGAACCTATTGAAGCCGATATATTTGTACTTGCTATGGGACCATGGACATGTAAGAAAATATTAATTTCATATTCAATATTTTCAATTTATTTAATCATATAGATCAAGCAGCACCTTGGTTTCGAGATGCTATGATATTTAAAGAAAATATTTCTCATCAATTAGATATTATTAGTGGAGTTAAAGCACATAGTATAGTATTTAAAGGTAATCAACCAACAGAACCTTATGCATTTTTTCTTTCCTATCGATCAAATGATGGTAATATATTAGATCCTGAAGTTTATCCACGATCAAGTTTGTCTTTCTTTTTGTTTTTCTTTGTTAAATTGAAAGAAATATATGAAATTTATTTAGATGGTGATATTTATGTATGTGGATTTTCTGAACAACATACACAAAATTTATCTGATAGTGGTAATTCCGTACCGATTGATGAAAATAGTTGTGAACGTCTTCGTCAAATTGCTATGCAAATAGCATCAACATTAAAAGATTCAAACGTAGAAATAAAACAAGCTTGTTATTTACCACAATCACATGATGGTATACCAATAATTGGACGACTTCATGGATTAAATAATGTTTATGTTGCAGCAGTAAATTATTTATTGAAGAATTAAATTTAATTGACTTCTTTTGTTTGTTTTTTTGTTTTTTTTAGGGTCATAGTTGTTGGGGAATTTTAAATAGTTTAGCTACTGGTGCGCAATTAACTCAATTAATTTTAAAAGGTGAAATCTCGCCATATTTAAAACAATGTGATCCGGGACGATTTTTTCGACATACAAGTCATAAATAAACAGACATATTTGTAAATTTTTATTAGTTTTGTATTCAAGCTATTATTTATGTTTAATAAATTTTACACTATTAGACATGCAGAACATGACAATCTAATAAGATAATATTCAAAGTTTTTTTTCTTCTCAGAAATGAATTCATTTAATTATATTTCTGTCAAGAAAATTGAAATTGAGATAAATGTATGAAAAGATAGCCCGAAGTCTGATCTATCATAAATGACGTCATTTTTTTATTTGACATCTTATTTTTTGGTACAAGTTGTTCATGATTTGCATGACCTTCCGTCTGAGAAAAAAATGCTTTTTCCTGAAAAAACGGAAACTCTTCTCACTTTTTCACTGTTTATGCTTTCTATGATCACGCAACTTAGAATTTTCTATGGGCCTTGATTTCATATATAGAATTTTTTTTTGTTTGAGAGAGCACGTCAAGATGCAAGACATGGTAAAATATCTTTTTCCAGTTAACCATAGTTACTATTATATAAAAGAGTACTTGAGGGTTTTTCGAGGCATCAAACTTTTTTGTCCTTAAAACGTAGATTTTTAAAAAAAATGGCTTTATCATGCTCTTTCAAACTAAAAAAATAGAGAATTTTAGGTTGCAAAATAAGCTATTTTTGATCCTTGTCTGTTGAATATCACCCAAAATCATCATGATATAAAGCTGAAAATTTTACTATAGCCTTTTCACTACACCTCCAATAAATCCTGAGAATTTAATGCAAGTTGAATGTACTAGGCCCAAGATCAGTTTTTGAAGAAGACCTTACAAGTATACATGTCAGTTTATTGATATTAAATTATTTATTGTATAAAAGAACATTGTACAGGTTTACAAATGAATTATTATAATATATAACCAGTCCTTATGTTTTCTTATACAATTTCGAATGTAAAACATATGATTGAGTACATTTAAACAGATTTTTTTAACCTCCATTATGTTGTGTGCTATCCTTTTTACCTATTACCTGGTTAAATATATATTTTTTACACTTTATTGTTCTTTTTATTTGATATTCTCGAAAATATTAATACCTTTCTTTTTTTTTTCAAGTACATGCGAAATAATCAACTCATAAAATAGAAAATTTTGCATCTTTGTATTAGATTAGACGTGATAAAAACATTTCTATTGATACAAAAAAATGTATGGAAATTTTACATAAAGTTGGTTACCATTAATAGCAAATTATTATTACAAATTTTAATATATGATATTTTTGTATACGCCATATGTGTTTGACAGAGTCATTAAATATAAACTCATTATTATTTAATCTATTCATCTTATGTCAGCTTGAAAATTTGGTAAACTCAATATTAACGAATATTATAAATAAAAACTAAATTCATCTTTAAAATATCATCAATTAAGTATATTAATTGACAATACCGTTTAACACAAGCAGAATTCAAATTGCTAACAACATTAAAACGTGTTCTATACGAAAATTTATCGTACTATATAAATCACATATTATATGTTGAAATTGTTTTGTAAAAATATTGATTACATCAATAAAGTTCTTCATCAACAATATTAGAAGTTTGTTTGATATTGATAATAAAAAAACAGATATGACGATGAAAATACCAGAGTTGAAATAGTTTATCAATACTCAAATTGAAATCGTTAACTTTATTTTTACTTTCCGGTATTGACTATGGATCAAATGGTATAATCTAACTTGATGAAAAAAGCTGTTTTTATTGTTCAATAAACAATTTTATGCATTAGGGAAAAATTTAATAATGCATAGATCTATACTATTCATAAAAAAATTCGAGAGCATATTCTCAAAAGTAAAAAAAAACAATTAATTCGCCATAATACCACAATTTATTTGTATTTGACTAACATTTCATTGTTATCTTTTCATTTCGATTCCAAAAATAACTATTTCTCTTCAATAAAGTAATTTTCCATTACATCATCATATTTCATTGATAATCTGCTAAGCATGATATAGAATGTGTAAAGAATAGTAATCTAAACACGATAATAGATTAGTTAAATGTATGTTAAAAGCGAAATGCAGCACTCCTATGTTGACAGTTGTCAACATAAAATATAAACCCAAGAGAATAGAAAATTTCTTTTTGATTGTTCTTGCTAAGAAAATACAATTATTAGTACTTTTAGAAATGTTCTGCTATTTAATTAAATTTATTTACGTCTATTACCTTAAATACACATAAATTCAATATAAAAAACATGTTTACACATTAACTTTTCATATTTATTTCTTTTTTCTTAAACGAATATGTAGATTTTTCTAAAAAGATTATAAACATTCAATTGAGAAAACACCATGGACATGTTAAGTGTTTATTTCGAGAAAGATCAATAATGTCTATGGGATTATAAGTGAGATTTTGTGCGTAGTTTTCCCGTTTGCAACAAAATGCTATACTTATCACTAATAGCACTTCAGATTCTTCGGGGTTCTCTATACATAACTGCGTCATTAACATTTAACTGATCTATACCTTTGACAAACATATAAATACATCTTTATTTGCTATCTAAGATTTCCTTTTCTATTCTTGATTTTTATTATTCTTATTTTAAAGAAAGAGCAAAACTTAAATGAATGTTGACAGATATATATGTAAATGAATTTGTAAATAACATCAATATGAAAGATTATTGACATAGAAAATTAGAACAACAAAAAAATAGAAGGAAAAAGAAAAGGATAACCTTGAAACTTTCTGAATATATTCTAAATTTTTTTTATAAATATACATATATTTATTTCCTTATCATAACCGTTTAACTAATGCTTCCACAATGTAATGAACTGAATAGCATGTTGAATGATGTAGTATTAAACAATAGAATAAGTTCAATATTCTTTTTTTTTCTCTCCCATCATTATCGACAATAAAAGAAGACAAGAAATGTAATATGCAACAAATTACAAACAATAGAATCACTTCAGTTCATAGAGAAAATCTCGATATTGAGAAGAAATATAAATAATTGGAATGTTTAGTATAAAACAAAATGATTATGTTGATTTCTTCTAATTTAAAAAAATATTATTTGATAATTTTTAATATATTTAAAAAAAAAAATCTAAGGTTGTTTTTATCTATTCTTTCATGCATCAAATATAGAAACAGTCAACACTTTCTCGGTGTTGCTTTCCCTTTGTTTGATCCATATAATAATGAGTTTCCGGTGTTCTGTCTTGTCCTCGTTTTCTTGACGAACATCTTTTTTTCTGCGCCATCTTCTGCTTCTTTTTCTTTTCTCCTTTTTTTTTTTGTTTCTGCTATCTATGCGCATTTACATTTCTTTCATAGACAGCATAATTTACATCTTTTTGAGCGAAAGAAAGAGTGAGAAGATGCTATAAGTACAAGAAAAAAAAAAAGGGATAGTATTCATATTGCTTATTGATTGATGACATTCTCATACCATAATCGAAAACTTGTATGAATTATATTTGTTTGTCAATATTGTTATTTCAAACTTTTTTTTGTTTACTAATAGATATTTTAAATGTTCTTCCAAGTGTTAATGCGCAAACATCATTAAATATTTATCCTTTTTTTCTCTTTATTTAAATTTATAGTATGGTCGATAAAAGCTATGTTGTTTCGCTGCTCGGATGTGCTAATCTCATCGAATTGGTTAGTATAAAATACATAGGCTATTTTTTTGTCTCTCTGTACACAAAATGAATCTAACTCTAATCTATCTGTTATAAATAGACATTGCTTGCTGGTGGCTTTATCGCTGTGTGTATGACATCAACTGGTTATGCTCAACTTGTCGATTCTTATGCTAACATCATTAAATATAATGTAACTCAGACAGTAAGTGTACAAAAGAAAATTAGATGAAAAAGCTTGACTGATATGCGCATACTTGTATGTCAATCATATTATTTATTGTTTTTCAGTCTGATGCTGATTCAACGGCATTTTATGATATTGATGTTTATACAGTCAAACAAGCTGATCAAGCTATTTTAATGATTATATTTGGTTTAACATTATTTTCATTTCTTGCTCATATTATATTTAGTTTTCGTTATCGATATTCATGGCATCGACTGTCGATTGGCGTAAAAGATTCGATTAGTTTTTATCTCTCATTAAAAGACATTTGTCATTTTTAGGTAGCTTCCTTATGTATTATCTATGCATTTGCTCTATTTGGCGTGTCAGTTGTTGTTGCTGTGAGTAGGAAAAAAAGAAACAGAAAGGATATAAAAAACAAAATAGAAATTTAATCTTTTTTTTTTTTTGTATCATCCAGTGTTGGGAAGACAAATTGAGAAAACGATTAACACGTATATATTTCAGTAATCAATTCATTGCTACACCAAATGGTATTGTAAAACCACAAACTGGTTCAGCAGCAGCTGCAGCTGTAAGTTATCTTTTTATTAAAACAAAAAGAAATTAAGTTTATTCTTATTAAAATTTTCTTTTTAGACATTTGGTTTTGCTGCATGTCTTATATATCTTGCTGAAGCATTGATAAGATTTCGACGTTTAGCCGATAAAATTCAACCATAATCTGTTCGATTTTAATTTAATCTTATATATTTTACGATATTCTTGTTTTCTCTATATAATTTTCTCAACTAAATGTATCAGTTAAGCAAAAAAAAAAAAGAAAAACTTTGCTTTTAAAATTTAAAATCAAAAGATCATGTCAAAATAGCAGAAAATAAAAGTTACTAACGATTATATTGCATAAAAATAAATATTGTTCGTCAACATTCTTACAGAATTATATCTTTTATGGGAGGTGTATATCATTTGTATCATCTGCAACTTAATCTTAATCGACATGATGAAAGTTACATCAATGTGCAAACTTATCGAAATTTTCTATTAAATTTGACAAGAAAAATATTGAAAAAAAAAAACAAAAAAGAAATTAATACTTAGCAATTCAAGCGAGAATACAAAACAAACAGAAATACTAGTGTTCTATTATTCAAATGATTGACATTAATTTTCAATTTAGATGTCACTAGTTTGAATACATACTATTGATGATTTATTGTAACCAATCAGAATTGAGGATTTTCTTTTTCTTTCTTTCTTTCTTTCTTTCGTTCGTTCATTTTTATTTGTTTATTATATCTTATTTAGATGAGTTCGGTGACAGATGAACATAAAGTAGATAATACGTCTACTTATGAAGTCCTAGATGAACACTCATCGAATAAAAATCATATAAAAATAATAAATAATTCTGAAAATACAATGAAACCTTATTCAAATAATAATATTAATGATTTAATTGATCATCTTATGTGTTTAATTAATGAACGTCTTGATAATGCTCAACAATGTAAAAATATGTTTTATAAAAATTCAATGCAACTTGCTTTTTATCAAGTTCTCTCTGAAATAAAAGATAAAATAGGTAAGATTAAAATTCTTAATAAAACAGAAAAAAAACAATTATTTATATGAAAATAAATTCAAATACGGTAAAAACACTTTTTCGATTAAGAAAAAATTTTTTTTCTTTAATCCGAAAATATTCATTTATTTTTTGGTAGCACTTAATACTCAACAAATATCAAATATTGATGATCAAACATCTGAACAATTAATACGTGTTGATAATATGCTTATTGCTGAAGGAATATTTGAACGATGTTCATCAACAAATTTATCTTTAACAAAAAAATTTGATCATAATTATACATTTGATTATTCAGATTATCGAACAAAATTGGATCAAATGCGACAAATTTATTATGTAGAATTAGAAAAATATGAAAATCATTGTAATGATTTTTGTTCACATGTTAGAACACTTTTACGTGAACAATCACAAATACGACCAATAAGTGAACATGAAATTGAACATATGATAAAAATAATAAGAAAAAAATTTTCAACTATACAATTACAACTTAAACAAAGTACATGTGAAGCTGTTATGGTTTTACGTTCGAAATCACTTGATGCAAGGTTTCAAAAAAAAAAAAGAAAGAATTTTATTTGAAATTTATAACGTTGTTTTACTTTATAGAAGAAAACGACGAAATTTTAGTAAATTAGCTACTGAAGTATTGAATGCATATTTTTATTCACATTTATCAAATCCGTATCCATCCGACGAAGCAAAAGAAGAATTAGCACGTCAATGTGGAATATCAGTAGCACAAGTAATTAATTATTAGATAGATTTTTGTTTTTTATAAAAATCCATTAGTAATTTGACAAGTAGAATGAGTTTATAACAAGATTTATTTATATTGTATTATCATAGAAGTTAATCAGTTATGTAATTAAGATCATGATTTATGTCTAGAAAGATAAATAAATTGAATAACAATAGTATAAAAAAAGAATCAAGTTCTGTTCTTTTATAACAAATCGTTGAACGAATGAGGATATTTAACGGAAAAAAAAAGTATCATTCGGATCCTGCCTGATGAAATTCAAACGATAAACTGTAGAATATATATATATGTCGTAATGGCTTAAATTACTAAACATAAATCACGGATGACTTTCAATGTTTAATGTAAACTGGTTAATTGAGTTGTTTTACATTCTGATTTCTCAGTGTCTAAACAGTTGATTATAAACTCACGTAATTATAGAAGGACCACGTTTGCTGTAACAATTTGCTTCATATCTTAATCAGATATATTTTCCATCAGATAAAATTGCATCTGAAGTAGACGATTATTTTGTGTTGGCTACCAATTTTGATAGAACAATATTTCCTTCATTGTAGGTTTGTAATTGGTTTGGCAATAAACGTATTCGATATAAAAAAAATATGCATAAAACTCAAGAAGAAGCAAACATCTATGCAGCTAAAATAGCTTTACAAGCTGTTCGTCATAATCGTGATAGTTTATCAAATGGTATAATTCATTTTAATCTTTTCTATTCTTAATTATTTATTGTTTGTTATTCTTTTGTTTTAGATTATTAAAATCTTTTTATTATTTTATTATGCTCAAATTTTTCGATCAATTATATTTTTTTTTTGTTGCGTATTTTCTCTATTGTGTGATCTATATTTATGCTTTTTATTTGTTGTTTTGTATTTGTTAAATATAATTAAAAAAATAAAAATATTTTGTTTTAGATGAGTACAGAAGATCAATTATCATCATCTTATCATATTCTAACACCACTTGAAAATGCTTTTTATACAAATATCAATAATCAAGAACAACCTCAAATGATGAATCGTATTATGTCAATTATAAATGATCGTTTAGATGATGCTCAACAATATAAAGATGCATTTAATCGAAATCCAATGCAACCAATATTATTTGATATACTTAGAGAAATTAAACAAAAAAATGGTAAGTACAAAAAAATAAAAAACTAAATAAATACAAGATTTCATTTAATTAGATTAAAATTTCTATTAATCATCCAAAGTACAAAGTCCAATTCGATTGAGTTTAATAGAAATGAGTTAGAATACGAATACTATTAAAGTTCCTAATGTACTTATATTATGGGCACTTTTTGCATAAGTATCGATATCATTATTAGATATTTGCGGATCATTTCTTCAGGGTCACAGCTTTCGATACAATTCAGATATACCTAGATAATGAATTCATCTAATGGAATACAAATTGATATATATACATATTTACATTTTGTCAAGATGAATCAATCCTTAGAATAGTTTACCTTTTAAAAGTCATCTGATTAGACCTTCTTAATTTTTGAAAAAACTCCGTGAATGAAAGAAAAATATCGAGATGCAACAATGTAGTATTGTTGAGTGATCTCAAATTTGCTATAGTTTTTGCTTGTAAAAATAAGAAAAATGAAAAAGATAGAAAATAAATGAAATAACTTGGAACTATAATGTATGTGAAGTCTCGTTAATTTATGAATATTTTCCTTCTACATTTTAATTATTATATTTTTACATGATGATGACGAACATAAATCACAGCAGATATGATAGAATAGACAATCTCATATTGTCGATAGAGGAGAGTCAGGAGTTATGAGCATTTCATGGTAAAAGAAATAAAATGTTTATATCTCATGAACCATCCAGAAAAAGAAGCTTAAAGTCGCGGTGACCGAGATCTATCTCAAGTTAGACTCGCACATCTCTAATTTAATATAGATAGTTCTGCAATAGTTTATGAACATTGGAGATATGCATGCTTTCATGTTCCAGTTATAATTTATTTCTATTTTAATCGATTCGTTGAGAAGAAATAATGTAAGAATATTTTCTCTTCTTTTTATAGGACTTAATATGCGTCAAATATCCAATGAAGATGATTCATATAAACAAGAATTAGCTCGTCTTGATACGATGCTTTTAGCTGAACGTATTGTAGATCGATATCCTAATGAGGTATCAACTAATAATTCAATTGAAATTGAACATCCTGAATATGAAGAAAAATTAAATCGTATTCGTCATTTTTATCATACTGAATTAGCAAGATTTGACAAAAATTCAAATGATTTTTGTACACATGTTTTAACATTACTTCATGAACAATCACAAATACGACCAATAACACCAGAAGAAATTTCACATATGATTTCAATGGTACGAAAAAAATTATGTTTAATACAAATTCAATTAAAACAAAATACATGTGAAGCTGTTATGAATTTACGTACACGCTTTCTTGATGCAAGGTATTAGAGAAAAATAAAAATAAATCGAAAGTTTCTTTTCTTTTCTTTTTGTTTTCTAGACGTAAACGACGAAATTTTGATAAAACAACACAAAAAATTTTAAATGAATATTTTTATTCACATTTATCGAATCCTTATCCCTCGGAACAAGTTAAAGAAGAATTGGCACGTAAATGTGGTGTTACTATTTCTCAAGTAAGATTTTTTTTCCTTTTATTGTCTTATGAAAATCGATTTTTGTTTTATTGTCTAGGTAAACAATTGGTTTGGAAATAAACGTGGACGTTATAAAAAGAATATGCTTAAAAATGAATAATGACTAAGTTCGTGTAAATAATTCATACTCAATTGATGTATTCTATTGTTGTTTTTTCTTTTTCTTTCGTTTCTTTTTTTTTTTTTTTTGTATAATCATTTTATGTTTTTGAATAAAGTTGTCTGAAATAATCTGATGAAAATATATTGTAATAAATTTTTCAATGAATAAAATAACATTCAATATATCGTAAAAGCTTTTAAAAAATTTATCAGTGCAATTACTTTAGGGCTAGAATGTTGAAATCACAATTGTTCTTTAACTTCATTATACTAATACAAAATACGTTAAGTGAAAAATCTCTCGTAGATTATAGCTGTTTTCTAAGAATAATCAATCGCCAGGGAAACGATCTGTCTTATTGCGGCATTTCAAACAGCAATTTTTTCTTTGTCTTGTTACTATTTTTTGTTGTATTCCATTTTTCTTAAGGGATCCCTCCCGTAGAAAATCGAATTTTTCAAGAAAGTATCGAAGTTGAGTTTTTATCATAGGAAGATGCAGCGAAGCTTTCTCTTTCAGAATATGTATAGCTTTTTGGAAAATGATTAGATTTTCAAAGACTTATCACATGAAACTTTGACTCTAGTAGCATATTTTTGGAGAAATTTTCGTGGTTTTTAAAGTTTTTCAGTTTTGAAAAAACTGCGTTGCCATTTATACTATCATTGAATAGAGCATTTTTATATTATCCAGCATATCAGATGATATTAGCTATCTTCATCGATCATCGACTTTCAAACGGTCCACTGAAATATATTAAAAATATACCATTGTAATATGATTTGTTCTGAATTTGAATGAAAATTCCATTTCTACAGTGTGTGTAAAAATGTTTTTTCAGGGGAGTAACATTGCTATTTTCAATAGTATTAATAAAGATTTTTATGCCAAATTAAAGCGCATCAAGAATAGGATTTATCAGTATCAAATAGTAAAGGTTATAGCAATTTTTCAATATCGAATTCATGAAGTTTCTAGAATTTGACGTCATATTGGCAAAGAAAGTTTTTTTGGATGAGGCAGTTCAAACTTGGTGAGGTTCAAAGTCGTGAATATCAGAAGATGATTGAAAAGTTGCTATAACTTTTATTATTTAATACTGACAAATCCCATTTTTGAGATGCTTTAATTTGGTATAAAATTTTTTATTGATACTATTTAAAGTAACAATGTTACTCCCCTGAAAAAACATTTTTATGCACGCACACTAGAAAACTCCTTTAGTGTTTTCCTCAAAACATGGTTTCTAGGAAGGAAAATCAAAATAACTTCAGCTTGGCTCCCAGTATAATTGGTGTTTTTTTATTTTAAATATCTAAGTCAGTGCTAACTTTTCATCGGACGGATTTTTGATACTTGACTCTTGGACTGAGAAAAGTTAGATTTACTGTTGTGGAGTGACATATTTTTATGCTTATTTTGGACGCTATGTTCATTAAAATGCTCATAAAAAATGAATGGAAGGGAGTTTCAAAGTTTCGTCCGATGGATAGTTGGGCACAGAGGCTAGCTTTAATTTGAAACTAGTTCGAGCTCTGTACCCCTTTATAACGACGGAGTTATTTCGATTCTTCTGGAAGGTAGGAAAACAAACCGGAAGTTCGAACGAGTTAGGCATATCAGGCTGAAATTTCTACCACAAGTGTTTCTCGCTAGGACCAACCATTTCTGAAAGTTTCACCTCAAACGATTCGTTCTAAATGGGAAATCAATTCTGAGAGGAACGCTCTTAAGTCGTTTTTTTCCTTTGCTAATAGAGTTTTTTATGTCATTCATTATCAAGTAATTTACAAGTTGAATATGTTCAAATAAATATTGATCATGTTATACGGTCAAATGTTGCACGTATTGTATTGATTCTTCAGATGGAAACTTGATGTTTTATTCATGAAGTTCAATCATTTAAACCAAATTATTTCAAGTTAATATACTCTGTTTCTTGTTTGGCATTATTTCATTTTAATTTATTCTTGGGTTCTTGTGTAGATATTAAAGACTAGAATCATCTAGTTTACTAGCAATTCTTTTTTGTTTTCTGTTGATTGAATGTGATCTAATTGTTTGATTGCTGTATATCAATTTTTATTCACTATAGAATTCTTTTTAAATTGATGTGTTCGAAAATTTGAAAATATTAAAATTCTTTACAATGACAACATATAAAATTAAATTATTATAACTATTACATTATATTACAATCAAAATTGTTTACAATGTTCTGAAGTCGAATTATCTATTTGGATGTTATCGTTTTGGTTGAATCGTAACATTTTTATTAATATTACACAAATAATTTTTATTGTATTAAAATATGATTTATATTTTAATCTATTAAATTATAATGAATGATATAATTTACATTACAAATACAAAAAACAAGGAAGACATGTTGCTTGTAATAGAATCGTGTAAGCTAAGTTAATTTCTACTTCAAATTGAGGGAAGGAATATAAAATTTAGAAGTCCTAGTGGCTAATAGGACTTCTATGGATCAGTTTTTCATTGATAATACAGACAAGTCCTCTATTTCGAATGGAATAGTTCTTTCTATTTAAATTCATTACATACATGTGTTAATCGTAATAGATGAAAGTAAAAAAAAATTTTTTTGTCATGCTAAATTATTTTTCTTTGGTAACAGTTATGTTATTGTGTAGTAGTAGGGTAAGGTACAATATTATATCATAGCCTGTCAGGTGACTTCGTAATCGGATCCAGGGGAGTTCCTTGTGCCTGTTATGGCGAAAGCAGTGTAGTACTCAGGAAGGCCTACTATGCACGTATAGGCCCTGTCGTCATCGTTCTTGTATGTCATACTTACGTTCATTGCCCTACCAGTCCGGCGTGGTTCACTCTGGGTGTACTCATTTCAGGCTTACAGGAAGTCTCCCTAGTAGCACGTACGCGTACGCGACTAGGAGCCGAGAATAGCTGGAAAGGGATGTGAGTACCAATCGAAAACAATTTATTGTGCAAGCCAATGAAGAAAAAAAATAAATCTACAGCTTCTTTTTTACGTAGTTAATATTATCTATCAATGTTTTAATATGAGGATGGGTTGGTGGAAGCGAGTTTTGGAAGATAGCAAGTGCCTTTTCGAGAAACGATAATGCTTTCGAATGGTCACCCATGCAGCAATAGACCGTACCGATATTGTTGTAAGAATAAGCCAAATCAGGATGCTTTGAAGGAAGAGCTTCTTTGCAGATTTCTAGTGCTTTTTGATGAGATAAAAGTGCATTCGAATAGTCATCCATATTATCATACACCGAACCAATGTTGTTGTAAAAGGTAGCCAAATCAGGATGGTTTGAAGGAAGAATTTTTTGCCAGATTTCCAGTGCTTTTTTATAAGATGAAAGTGCATTCGGATAGTCACCAATATTGTCATACACCAAACCAATGTTGTTGTAAGATTGAGCCAAATCAGGATGATTTGAAGGAAGAGTTTTTTGGCGAATTTCTATTGCTCTTTGATGAGATGAAAATGCATTTGAATAATCACTCATCTTGTTATATATACAACCAACGTTGTTGTAGGAATAAGCCAAAGCAGGATGATTGGAAGAAAGAGTTTTTTGATAGATTTCCAGTGCTTTTCGATGATTTGAAAGTGTATTCGAATAGTCACCCAGGTTGTAATACACCGAAGCAATGTTGTTGTAAGAAGTAGCCAAATCAATATGATTTGAAGGAAGAGTTTTTTGTTTGATATCCAGCGCCTTTTGATGATATGAAAGTGCATTCGAATAGTCACCCATACGGTCATATACGAAACCAATGTTGTTGTGAGAAGTAGCCAGATTGGCATCCGTTGGTGGGAGAAGCTTCTGTTCGATTTCAATGGATTGTTGATAATAGCCAATGGCATTCTTGTATTCACCTTGACTATCCTTGACTGTACCGAGCATATGATAAAGATGAGCTTTTTCCTTATCAGTTTTCGTTCGATCAAGTAGAATATCGTACACTTCGTAGGCTTTGTTGAACTGTCCCAGTTGAATTAGCAAGTGACCTAAACGATCCCATCCTTTCTTCTCAGGATACATCTCGTTGTGTATTCTTTCAGTAAGTGCATGAAGATCTGGATCGTAGTCACTGATTAATGTTAAATTGACTTGCCAAAGACGATTATTTCTATTGATTTGTTTGATTGGTCCAATACGAAAAATGGAATTCATGGAGAAAAGAATTTCTTTTTCTCTTTTGAAATAACTGACATCTTCGGTATTGCCGAAAGCAGTAGTAGATATTGACGGATTGATAGTTATTTCAAAGAGAACTCCTATCAGATCAGGATTCTCTTGATTACTCGAAGCAACGGTAAGAGATACGTCTCGATCAAGATTTGTTGACAAAAAATTATTAAATGATAAAAGTCCACCTTGTGTCTTCATCATTCGATCAAAGTCGATCTTTGACAGTCCTTGACCACGAAAGGCAGTAAACGTTTTCACATGTGCATGTCCAACATACTGTTTCTTATGAAGCTCGACGATGTAGTTGTGGAGATCGCGAATAAAAAATCCCATTCTTATGATGAGATCGACATCCATCATTCGTAATGATCGATTGAGGATTGAATACAAAAAGCATTGGTTGGTATACCACCAAATTGGGAGATACTTATGATATTCTTGTTCGAGTTTGTTAACATGATGAAGATTATTTGGATTATCAGCGAAAATGTTGCGACAGTACATAGTAAATTCGTTGATATGTTGTTGATTGAAATCCATGGTTAATAAAATTTCCTTGATTATTTGTGTGTACATAAATGAAGGATCTAATTGACTGAGATTTGGCTTACTGCTTCCACTACCAGTGGTGATAAAACTGATCGAAATCATGTTTTGATCACATTCTTGTGCGGCTTGTTGAAGAGCTCTACAGATCGGAACAATATCTGTAAAGACTCCTTTTATTTTTGGCCATTGCTCAACCCATTCTTCATGCCGAGCTTGGTTTTCACAAAATATATAAATTGTACTGACTTGAGGCATATCATGTACAATGGGAACTGTCGTTTGACACAGTGCATCAGAAGCGATTAGAAACATTTTCTCTTGTTTGAGGTGACTGATCAAAACGGTACATTCATCGACATTCGTAAATATATTGATGTTATTAACTACTTCTTTTAATTTTGAAATTGTATGCTTGCAATCTTTGTTGTTTTCGGGATCGATGCTGTCGTCGAGCCAAACAAGCAAAAAATTCTGAATTATACGAGTAGGAGGAAGCCATTGTGGTCTTATGCTCGTATGTTCAGACGGTACGATAGCAGTTGTTGTTATCGACTTTTTCTTTTTGTCCATGGCGTACGTGTTGTTCAACCAATGAAAAAAATACAATGACTTGAACTTATATAGTACGTTGGATTTTTTTCAAGATATGTCTATTGTTTTTCGATTATTGTTGTCATGCAAGTTCGTTTTTTCCGTTCGTTTCACTTGAGTGCTTTACTCTTTTTTATCTGTGTTTGTCCGTAGTATCACAAGACAACGAACGAGTGAAAAATAATGATTCATTGCAATATGGTTTCATACGTTGTGGCGCATTTTACGTTCTTTTTATAATGTCCGAAAGTTTTTTCTCTCCTTTTCATTATATTGTCATAAATGGATTTGCATATAGAAATAGATTAATATGCATTGCTGTTTAAAAAATGTATGGCAAATTTTTATTTTAGTAGGAGGTTTCTACTTAATTGAGGGTTCAGTATAATACGAAACCGATGAAAGTGTAGGTAGAAGGTTGCTATTGTTGTTAAGAATTATTTTTTTACATCCATATTCTCACACTATTCTTAATGAAACTTAAATGAATCTAACATCATTAGTTTATTTTTAAAATGTGACATAATGTCTATGATAATTTTCCATGGTTACTTGATTATGTTGTTGTAATTTACATTCAGTTTCAGAACTAGCTCATTTTGTATATTCACTTCAAGACTTAGACTGGCCTCCTCGTTAATGAGATTACGAAATTTTCGAATTGAGAGTGTAGTCGTTGATCGCAACATTCGATTTAATCATTGTTGCTACTGAAACTCGTTTTCATTATATCGAAAAAACAGTTCGTGCCTCAAACATCGTCGTTTTGTGAAACCACTTGAGAAGCAACGAAACTTGACATCAAAGTTTTGAAAAAAATTGATCATATAGGAATATGGAATTTTGTAACAATGTTAGAACGAAAATTTTACGATTTTTCGATTTTGAAGTCATCGCGACACAAAAAAAGACGTTTTCGATTTATGCATCGAGAAAGTAAAAAAAAAACCTCGCGAACGATCAACAAAGTGAGATCATTCATATACTTCATATTCATGGATATTATTTAAAAACAGATATTGATGAAACATGATCTAGTGAATGAAAACTTACGACATTATTTCTTTGTGATAAGAAAATTCGTTCATAAGGAGCTCAATTTTCAGCTAGAACTTTAAAAAATAAAACAGTAAGACAATATCCTTATACTCATCTATTCTATATTTATTTGTTTCAATATACAATAGACAATCATGATACTAAAGCTTGCTCACAATCAAGTCAGAGATGAAGGAATGAAATATTTCACTAATGCATTAAAAAGTAATTCAGTGAGAATTTTTGAATCTTGCATTTAACAAAATTAGCAGCAAGAAGTACAATATTTAGCTACTGCATTACAAAAGAATATGGTAAAGAAAAGCTCTTGAATAATCTATTTTACATCAATTTTTTTCACTCAAAATAGATCATCACAACCTTGTATCTTTCTAACAACAAAATTGACTGCCAAGGTAGACAATCTCTTGAATAATATATTAACAAATAATAATGTACGACAAAACCTCTATTCATTTATTTTATACGTTTCATATAGTATTTAAATTAGGCACTGAAAACGTTGTATCTTCGGTTATTTATCTCATACACTTTTATGTTATACTACACAGATACTAGAACTATTGGAACTGGATCAGAATGGAGTTAATCGAGAAGCACAACATTATTCAACTAGTACATTAAAAAATAAACTCTTACGAATGTCTTAGTGATCAATAGCAGTCAAAGAAATATCGTGTGATCGAAATCACTATTTGGTTCTTTTTCTTCAAATTGTATAATGCTCCACTCTTTACAAAAGTATTTTATATTTTTGCAATGGAATTATATATATATATAAAACAAATCGAGAATGAAGTAAAATCAATTACAGTAATATTAATACAATTGTATTGATAATTTTGTTCTAGTAATGTATGTCAACATTTGTCAAATTATGTTTTTGTTTAAAAATAAATGTATTCTCTCATTTTAACTGTCAAAGAGATTCTATTGGATGAACATTACTTCGATTTAAGACCTTCAAAATAGAGATGTGCACGACTATACTACTGTACGCTGCAAATCTCTACTTTATCAATTTCTTGATAAATACAAACGATAATTATTTTATCGAAAACAAAATTCTTGATTAGTTTGATTGAAGTCAACTTTTTTTTTTGTTTAAAACATTTACATTCTGTTTAAAATTCAATTTTTGCCTCTCCGACATTACTCAACATACTGGACTTTATATATATATATACATTGATTTTTATTCTAACTTAGTCATTGTCTCTTAATGTAAAATATTTATTTGAACAAATATCATTTTCATAGTTTTTTTTTCCTAGAATTTATTTCATTGTAAATCTTGTATGTTTTGTTTTTGTTTTTGCTTTTTTTTCATTATTACATAGTTAATAGAACAAAAATCATTTGAAAGATAAAAATGAAAATTTAAGCTGTATTATGATATAATAAATTAGATATATTTAAATACACGACAGAAAAAGCAAAAAAAAATGATTATTATGCATCGCTGCTACTACTGCGTATAACTAAATTAGCTTTATTATGATCAGTTTCTTTGCTTTGAGGATCAAAAATGTGCTTGTTAATGAAGAGAAGATGCAGGAGTAGCTATATAAAAAATAAAAATAAAAAAAATAAAGCTTCAAAAATATAAACCTTTTGGACTTAGTTTTGATGAAGATGGTTTAACTTCAACATTTAATTTAGCCGATTCGTCAGACAATGTCGCCAATCGAGCTGATTGATTAGATGCTGTTATTGTTGCAGTAAACATTGAACTAGGAAATACTGCTGATGGTTTCTATCGAATAAAATTTCTTGAACAAAACAAAAGAAAATTAAATATATTTTTAGTTACAATTGCTGACTGATCTCTTGCTGTAGTAGATCGAGCATTTCGAAATAGAACTCTACCTATATTTATATTATTTGTTGAACGTGTAATAAAATTACGTATATTATTCATTATTGTTTGAACATTTTGTGGCATTTGCGGAGATGAAAATCGATTGTAATCTAAGAAAAAAAATATGTATATATATATATATATTTCGACTAACAAGGAAATCTTTCCAAGTGCCAAATCACTTTTCGACCGAGATAATATTTATCTGATGAATACAAGTGAGTAATAGAAAAGTTTAAAATGGTTTGATTTTTCGGATGTTTGTTTTTCAGATATCGGAATTTTACTGAATTTTTCAGCAAAAAGCTGTGATGGTCGTCGTCAAGTCACGTTAGAGTTTCGACTCCAAACTTTGTATGAACGATGTTCGTAATGAGATTAGCCGATTGTATAATTTTTTTTTCTTTTTGAGTATGTAAATATATGAAAAAAATTTTCCTTTTACACATGAGGGAATTTCGAATATTCTATGTCTCAGGACACAAGACACTAGATAACTTACAACTTGTTCAATGAGTTAATCACATTAAGAACTTTGTTCGTGCAAAGTTTGAAGTCGAAACTCTCACAAGACTTGAGAGAATTATAGCTTTTTGTTGAAAATCTCAGTAAAACTTCGATATTTCAAGAATGAAGATTCGGAAAACTCAACCATTCTAGATTATTTTATGACTCACTAGTATTCATCAAATGAACATCGCCTCGATCGACAAGGAATTTGACACTTGAAGAAGTTCTTTTGTAAGCTATCGAATTATTAATATATCGATTGTCTAAAGACACCAGGTTTTTAGGAAAAGTGTCTTTTTGAATTTTAATCTGAAACTTTGCACATATAGAGAACTCAACGAAATTAGTTTCCATAAAAAAATTCATAAGTTTTGAACAAAATCTCTTCGAGATATCAAACTTTCAAGATATAGATCCATTTCAATGGATAGTGTATGCAACATGCAGCCTTTGAAAGCTAGTCTAATTGAGTTCTCTGTATATGCAAACTTCAATAACTTACGAGAGAACGTTCCCAAATGATTAAAACCTTTTTGAGCCTATATTGTGTTCAGTCGTAAGGAGCCAATAGACTAGAATATTCTCCAAAGGGTTTATGTTGACATTAAGATTTGACCAATATATTAACTTTTTAGTAAATTTTGGCCTGAAAACTTTGGTTAAATGAAGGTCACATGAGACTATCTTATGCACAAATTTTCAAAAATTTTCAATTGAGTGTCTCTAAGATATGCATTTTTCAGACGTCAAACGGTTTTCCATTGATGCCATGTAAAACATGCGTATTTTGTAAGTTGTATATCTTAGAGGCACTCGATCGAAAACTTTTGAAAGATATTGATTTGGATTTTCATCAATATTATCACCACAATAATGTATTCCTATTAAAGACAAAAATTATATTACAAAAAGAAAAACAAACGATTTCTCCTTCCATCACAAACATATGAAATTAGTGTACAATTTTGATTTCGACATTGAAATTGTGTTGATGTATATTGTTGTTGTAGACATGTACTTAGTTCATCGGATCCATCTTCACAATCATTAACTAGAAAAAGAAAAAGAAAAACATTTCTCTAAATTTACAAAACAGACTAAATACTTATCTCCATTACACTTTGTTGACCATAGTATACATCGCTCATTTGGTAGACCACAATGATGTTGATTACAACTACAATTTGATACACATATTCGATGATTTCCATTATTTATAAGAATACAGCTGATTATAAATAATAAATCATATAGATAATTAAACGATCAATCAGCAATGTTCCTTAAAAATCTGTTCATAGGTATTGATAGAGTTCTCCTAGTGATGGATTCCATTATTCTTACTTTTCACGCTGGTCGAAAGTTAGATCATCTGATTGATGGATACATCATTTTTTCGATCTATAACGACAAAAACTGTTTGGTTCAAGTAAAACATCAACATTTGCCGAAACAACACTATTTACGATAAATCCTTGAAGCAACTGTTCGATTTTTATGAAATATTATTGTTCTTCGGAATTCGAGATTCGTGTGCTTCGCACACCGATCTGCAGTTTTCAGCAATCGAAATAGCAGAACATCGGGCGTTCTTTTATCTTATACTATAAAAGACAAAATTATTTTAAAATCCATGGTTTTCGCAAAACAAAAAAGTGCATGAAAAAGGTATTGATACGCGATTTTGTTTGCTCAATATTGAGATAATTACATGAATCGTTCCTTAAACAATAGATCTGAATTCCTTCTATCTAAAGCATGTGTCAAAATCAAACTTAAATCGAAACAGAACATCGTTTCCATACATTTTGTGAAAATGATAGTTTTTAATATAATTTTATCGTATATAATGTCAGACAGAAAAAAACATTCCGAACTCTCCTTTTTTGTTTTTTGATTGCTGAAAACCGCAAGTTGCTAGTTGTTGCTATTGTCGAGTTATTTAGTTTACAATCAATCTTTCTGATTTCTTGATGTGGACATTAAATCATTGATTTAAAAATAAGATTGATTTTTTTCTGTTTACTCTTTCTTTTTTTACGTATATGTTCGAGACAAGAGCAATATGTAAAATAGTTCTTTACATTGAATAGAATTGAAAAGAAATACGCCATTGGCAATTTTGTAAAGTAAACTTAAATGTAAATTCGGGTTTTCTTTTGTGATTTATTTATTTTAATTATTACATCTGTATGTAATTCTTATTGTTCGAGTTTTTGTATTTGGATCAAGTGGTAATATTTCACCATGTTGAAATAGACAATGACGAAAATTATGATGAGATGAATTTAACGAAAATTCATTTAGTTCTTGATTGATTATTTTATTTGATTTTGAATCATTTAATTCATCAATATTATCGTTATAGACATCACTTGTTACATCAGAACTAAACAAGAAAAATGATCGGTTTTTTTTTTTGATAAAAAGATTTCAAATTAAAAAAAAAATCAAATTCCAACCGATCAATACATCGTGGTGTTTTTGGTACACGGGTTGAACTATAACTAATTAGTGGACGTTGAGTTGATTGTAGTTGAACTGAATATTTATCATCATTTCGTAAGCGTTTACGTGAAGAACATATAACTTCAATATTTCGTTTACATGCATCTATATTTTCTTGTTCATATTTAATTAATTCTTCAAGTTTAATAGCTGTCTAAAAAGAATTATTTTTCATATTTATAATATGATTATGAATATCTCACTTGTGGACGAATATGATTACAAGTTATATTAAGATGTTTGTCTTTGAGAAATTTATCAATACGTTTTTCATATAATATCCATATCTTTAATAATGAAAATTCAAGTACTAGTTCTTTTTCATTTTAAATTAAGTCTTTCGAGATGTAACGATGTAGCATAGTCAACGTATCTCAAATATGATATTTAGTGTGCTTGCAAGTATATGGGAAGTTGACAATATTGAACGTATGAATATTTTTTCCCTACATTTTAATTATCGTATTTTTGCATGATTACGACCGACATTAACCACAAAAAATATGCTAGAATGAATGATCCTTGGTTTCTCACTCTTATCTTTCAATAGTGGGTATTTATTTTCAATGAATTACTCAAGTCATATATTAGTTAATCATCATATTTTGTGTCAATAATCGGAAGACATTCTAGGGTACCTGATGTAATTTTGAAGTAAAAATAATATTCCTCAGTTGAGCTTTGAGTTTTTTTTTTGGAAGAAGACGTCAAACTTCGAAAGTAACACTCGATCGTAAAATAGTTGTATGCGAGAAATTATTAAGAGCTAACACTTCAATATCGTATTGTTGATAGAGGAGAGTCAAGAGTTATTAACATTTTATGATAAAAGAAATAAAATGTTTATATCTCACGAATCATTCAGGAAAAGAAATCTAAAACTTGCTGGAAGATTAGTATTCACTGTTAACAATAATCACAATTCATTAGAAATCTCTAGCTATCATGGTCGAGTAGTGATACTCAATAGGTTAATTTAATCGTTTACCTTTTCTACTTTTTCAATTAAATAATTAGAAATATATTTAGAAAAAATAGCATCTTTTAAACAACATGTTAATTGATTGATATTTTGTGATGAATTTCGATCTTGATTGTATTCACTATTGTCAAAATTTAATTCTGATTTTATATTAGATGTTTGCATCGAATAAGGTTACATAAAAAACAAATTATTAAATAAAAAAAGAAATTCTTTATTGAAAATTAGTAACTAAGACAAAACAAAAAAAAATAAGAAAAAAAAACAACATTTTTATTCATTAGAATTATTATAATATATAAAGCAATTAAGATAATCATCATGTCAACATTCTCGTTTGTAACTCTTAGTAATAAGCAAAAAAGAATAGATTGTTATAATCCTTGCGTGACAATCATTTATGCTTGTTCTTTTTTGGCACGTTTTTATTAATACTTTATCTTTCTTTTTCTATGATGAAGTAAATATTTGTCTTAGCTATCATTATGTCTATTAGCAGGAGCATATTTTTCGACACACAGATGTGCAAAACTAATCTTCTTTATTAAACAGGTTTTCGACATGCCTTGATTTCTAAAACAAAAAAACAACGAACAATTTCTTTTTTTTTTTTTTTATAATAAATGATCTTTGCGTGTGTGTGGGTGTATTTGGATTTGAAAAAAAAGCAAATTTATCTGATCTTCTATATAATGAAGTATATTATAATGAGTATAAGAATTTCTTTGTTTCATTCAAACAAAATACTTTTCAAAAAGAGAATGAGAGAAAAAAGAAAACGAAAACAAAACAGACCAACACAACAAACTAGCACAACAAGTACAAGAGAGAGAAAACAAAAGAGAAAATGATATCGTTTGTACATTTTATAAACAAAATATGACAAGGAGAAAAACGGCGAAAAGCACCGAGTACAAAAGGATAAATGTCTTTTTCTTATTTAATATATTTTAATAATTGACGGAAGAAGCAAACTAATCTACATAATGAATAATAGAAATGATTAGATAATAGATTATCTTTTGAAATTTCTTTCTTCTTTAAATTTTGAGACAAGTTTTGTTTTGTTTCACTGTCGGAGTATACCAAATAGATAATCATTTAGAATCGTCTAAAAAAAAATTTCATAAATAAGAAAAGATTTAATAGAAAAAGAATTTTTTTCTTCTATTTACCGACCTATATTCATCAGATTTAATGATGAAATGGAAATCGAAGTTGTTGTTGTTGTCTTTCCATATCTAAATTGAAACGACGAAATTCATTTTCATTATGTTCACGTATTGATCGTTCTCGTGCATTTAATCGAGAGAGATCTTCATGACGTGACATCTATAATTAAATGAGATAATTATTTTTTTTTTGCTTTCTTGTCATTAAATAAAGAATAATAATTATACTTGAAGTGGATTAGCAGCAAGTGCTAATGCCATTGGATCAAATCGTGCACCATTAGCTAACATAAATGCCATTAATTCACGTTCACGTGATAAATTATGCATTGCTTCAAGACTTGACATCGATGATGGAGGTGGTGGTGGGCCAGCTGAATGTAACAATTGTCCACCATGAGATAGACCTATTATTATATATATATATATAATAATTAAATTTATTAGAAAAAGAAAAAAAATTTGAAAGAGGATTACCAAATGGCATCATTGATGGTGGCGGTGGTGGTGGTATTGTAGGTCCATTTGAATTATTTGATGATGATGACGGTGAATCATTGGTGTTACCCAAATGAAGATGTGTATGTGAATGAGAATGAATATGAGAATGATTATGTGTGTTATTTGAAACAGAATTAGCGGATGCTGATGTATTATTTGATGGTGATGGTAATATAGCTGATGAAGGGGATGGAGTACCAAATGGTGACATCATACTACGATAACGAGGATCAAGTAAAAGAACTGCAGTAGTCGGATCAAAACTGCCTGGAGTTGGACGTCCAATACTCGTATTATAATGTGATTGAGCAGCAAATAATTGAGCAGCGGCTGCAGCTGCAGGATTCATTAAACGAAAACCTAATGGATCAAGATGACGTAATGCAGCAGCATTATCATGTAATGATGGACCAAAAGGTGAAGGAAAATTTAATGGTGGTGGTCCAGTAGTACCAGCACCAGGTGGTTTAGGTCCACCGGGTATAGCATGTAATGGTAATGGATGAAATAAAGAACTACTACGATTCATTAATAATGAATCATGATGATGATTAAGTGTTGAAAATGGTGGTGGTGGCTGTTGTGGTGGACCAGATGAATGAAGTAATGGTGGTCCTTTATCCAAAGAAAAGGGTAATTTCTAAAACAAATTACAAAAATAAAAATGATAAATGATAAAGAATTTGTCTGCTTTTTTTTCTTGTATAGATATACAGATAAATTTCCTACTTCTTGTTTAAGTCCCATCATCATCATAGCTGCAGATGATGGTATTGGAGGCATTGATGATATTTCTTGTTGTTGTTGTTGTTGTTGTTGTTGCTGTTGTTGTTCATTATTATTTGATGATACTTGTTGTTGTTGTTGTTGTTGTTGTTTCTGACGTACACGTGAACCGCGTTTAAGTATAATATCGGTGCGTGCACAAGAATTTTGCGATATTGATCGATCGTAAACTTGTAATAAAACAATTCCTTGTGGTTTATTATAACATTCTACAAAAGAGAAATAAGAACGTTTTTTTTTTAATATTTGCTTTATAATACAATTCGTTTTTTTTTCTTCTAACCTCTTTCACATGTTAATGGTGCTGGTCCACTATCAGAACTGATTTCATGATTACCACTCATTGAACTATCTGATATATTTCCATCATCAGTCATATCAGTTGTTAACGAATCATTATCTTTTGATTCATTTAATGATGATGGAATAAGAAGTGGTGGTGGTGGTGGTGCTGATGTTATCGATGGTAAATTAAGAGATGATGGAGTTACATCACCACTAAGAATTGTTGGATGAATCGAAGTTGATTTTGGTGTATGACTAAGACTATTTGAATGTGATTGTGATCGATGTGATGATGGAGAATCTAATTCTTCATCTAAATATAGTAAAAGAAAATTTTTGGTTTTTTTTTTTTGAATTAATTCAATAAAAAAACAATGAAATATTTGATATACCTTTAGGTATTCGTCGTTGATCAGGACTATGAATAGATGATGTTTTTGATGTACGTGAAAATGCTGAACGTGGTGAAGATAATAATGATGATTGTAATAAATTTGGATGAAGTGTTGATGAATTTTCATTTATACTTATTGGTTCAGATTTAATTGTTGATGATGGAGATAGAATAAAATTACAATTCGTCTGTTTTGTATGATCAATAAGAATTTTATTTGTTATTTTTGCAGCACCATTTGATAATATTGATGATGGAGAATTTATTTCTTGTTTACATGTTGTTGCATTAGTTATTAATGGTGGTAATGGTTGAGATAGTGTTGGTGATGATAATTCTTCGGCTTTAATTAGAAAACCAGATGATGTTGTCGTAGGAATCGAATCTGAAGATTCTATGAACAGAAAAAAAAATAATATTTTTAATTTTTATTACGAAACCAAAAAAGTTCTGAGTTTTTGTCCGTACGAAGAATTTTTTTAGGTTTCGTCCAAACTCAAAAAAGGTTCCATAGAATACCAAAGATGATTCCGAGTTTATATTAATGAGACGAATATTTTTAAATTTCGTAAAAAAATCCTAAATTTTTTTAGATGTCAGATAAATCAGTGAACATCAATCTAGTGTAATCAGTGTGAATTTTCCGTGAACATTTTCTACACACACACACACACACACATATATATATATACCTATTAATGGTTTTTCATTTTCTTGTTCTTCTATTTTGATTCCAGTATTTATTATTGATTCATCTTTGATATTTTCTTCTTCTTCTCCTGTACTTTCTTGTTTTATTAATGATGTTTGTTCATTAATACGAGTTTTCTTTTTTGAACGTGTTGATGAAGGTTTTATTGATGAATTATTTTCATCAGATTTTTCAATTGTTGATGTTGATGATGGTGGTGATGATGATTGTTTAAATTTATTACGTTTTCTTTTACTACTACTACTTGGACTTGTTTCATTTAATGGTTTAAATAAATATGGTGGTGGTTCTTGATTTATAATTGGCATTTCACCATATTTTTTATAATACATTCGACAATCATAACATAATTGTTGACTATCACGTCCACCTGGTTGTAAATCTTTTGATATTGTTTGACAATGACGACAAAATTGTTCATCTGTATCAGTTGTTGTTGTTGTATTATCATCATTATCAGAATTATGTTCAGATTCATCTTTATTATTTGTTTTTGTATTACGTTGTTTAGCTGGTGTTGGTGTTGTAGATAAATTAGCTGATGTTGAACATGGTCGTTGTCGACGACGTGGACGACTTGATTGCGCTTGTGGAGTTTTTTTCCATAAATAATAAAATTCAACTAAATCTGATGTTTCTTTATGTGGTAAATGTTCTTTACGTATACGATAAAAATTTTTTCCATATTGTCTTAAACCTTTAATAAATTTTTTTTGATCATCATCTGACCATTTTCTATCAATACCTTTTGGTATTGGACACTTAACAAGTGCTTGTATAGCACGTTTACAATCATAATCATGATTATGTAAAACATTTAATGCATTTATTGTTGTATCATCTCGTTGTGCTACTTCATACATATCTTCTGGTAAACCTCGATCACACATACCAGCAAATGCTGCAATTGATCGTGCTGCTTGTAAATACATGGATAAATCAATATCGGATGTTTTATTTTTCCATAATAATTCTTCACGTAATGAACATAAATCATCATTATTAATACCATTTGTTAATGACGACGATGAATATGATTTCAAAAGTGGCAATTTGGCTTGATGTGATGGGCCAACACGTATTTCACCTTGCGTGTTCGCCAGTCTGCGCGCTTCAGGATTGTATGTTAATATATAAAAGAATGTATCCGGATCAGGTTTAAATGCACGAGCTTCTTCAATATCTTGATAATGAGCAACACGGCATCGACCTCTGAATTAAATAAAAGAAGAAATGTTTAGATAGACAAAACAAATCTTTATATATATATATAAATCTGTGTGTGTACGCAATAACTACATATTCTTTGTTCTCT